TAACAGACGTATTGGAGCATGAGCTTTCGTGGGTGAATACCCACTTCGTTGGATGCATCCGATGAAGTGGGTATTCACCCACGAAAGCTCATGCTCCAATACGTCTGTTAGTCTATAAGGTGCCACAGGACTTTTAAAGCTGAGGCTCTCATGTAGTCAATTGACTGTAGGATCAGGAGCTCCCAAGAAAAACACTCATGCATGTTGGCAACACTGCTTTTCATCTTGTTTCAACCTCTTTCAAATCCCATAGGTCCAGCCTGTTTCTGTTGTGGTGGCACTTAAAGACCCCAAACAGGATTAAATCCCCATTGTACAAACAAATAACACTGACAGTCCCTGCCTAAAATCTAGATTGTGATTTTTCTGAGACAATAGGCAAGGGTTAGGGGAGGGCAGGTAGGAATAGTAAAGGTGTGTTTACATAAGTTAGTAAGAAGTGGTTACTGGCCTGGCGTGCAGAATGTAAAAATCTTAATTAAAACAATAATTAAATTAAAATTTAAATAATGCTTTATCCTGTACTATCTTAAAATGAACTTCTGGCTCATTCTCTGTCATTCCTTTTCCTAAAACATCCCTGCTTCTCCACTGGATTTCCTTAATCCATTTTTAGTGTTATAATTGTGGCAGGGCCTTTCTTGTTTGCATTGGTGAGGGGACAAATATTTTTTCCTTCCACTTCTTAGAGTTCAAGTTTTTTACATGACATGTCCATTCTAAATCACAAAAATCAAGTAATTTGTTTTTTAAACAATAAAGTTGTTGTACTTATTTTCTTATCTGCTTGTGTATTGTTCTAGTGTGTCTTACTGGATTTTGCCAAATATAGAAAATAATTTAATAGTTTAAATAGAAAGGTACTTTGCATACTGTTTTGTATTCTTGAATATTCTCTCCTGCTCTAGGAAGCATGATGCACCTCCTCCCTAAGTACCAAGTGGTGAAAAAGAATTAACTGAAATAAAATTATTAATTCCCAGCTCTCAGATGTTAAAAACTGATTGTAAACATCAGTACTGCACTGTAAAAATAAATGTATTATGCAACTACTGCGTTCTTTCATTGCAGTATATTATTACATCACAGATGAATTTTGGTGGAAGTGCTGTATGTTGCAAATCATCAAATTAGTGGCTAGTACTCTGCATTATTCAAATATTATTTATGATTGAGGAAGTAGATTTGGGAAGTTAATTAAAACTTGGCTTCATTATTCATGAAGTACTACTGAATATTTGAATAGTCTACTCATTAAACTAGCTCTACAACACTGATTATCAGGTTAGCAAGTCACTATAAACGTCACCTGTTTAATTGAGCCAATTTATTTTCCTAAGTGTCTTTTAAAGGGCACAGTTTGTTGCCTCTACAGAAAACAATACATCATTAGGAATAATTACCTGTCATGTATAACGACTGGGAGATGCAAATAGATTAATTAGCTGTCAATCAGTGCTGGACTGCAGCTGGTGTTTCTGAAAAACCAGCAGCAAAAAATTCTAGAGCTTATTAAAATAAAGACAGATTTTTTTTTTTTTTTAAATAGAGTGTTCAGACTTGCTAGGTTTTATTGCAGTCTTTGGTGCAATATGAACTTTTTACAAGAGCTCATCCTAAATTTATTTAATATTTGGAATTATGGACTATTTGGTTAATTCATTTTGTGTTGAATGAAGATCCAATAATATTATCATATTAATAAAACTGTTTAGATGTCAGATTTTGTTAGCCAGGCTTTTTTGTCTCAATTTTTGAGACCCCATTTGAGTGAGCAGGCTAGTAACCCGAGCTCTTTCCTTTTCAGCAGATGTAACCAATTCCTGATCAATACTAGAGTAATAATTATTACATTACACACTTGGTCTCAGTATATACCTTGGGGGCAGCTGTCTTTATTAGCAGCTATCAAATACTACTGATCACAATTCGGCGTAGTTTTTGTTTTAGAATTAATCAGAATAAAATAAGCATAGCCTGAGTTTTAAGTTTTTTGTTCAACTTCCCTCAGTTGGTAACTGGTACATTGCAGATCAATAAAAAGGTAGTGAGAAACTAGGGCTAAACTCAGCCGAAGTTCATTCCAAGCTGATGTGGTATGATCCTTTTTGCTGAGGCACCTGGTTGGGAATTTATTTGGGGTTTGCAGCCGCTGAAATGATAGAAGCTGAGTGCAAGAGAATCACAGTATTCATTGTGTTGGTAGAAAGTGCTAATAAAGTGTTTGGCATTCTTTGCCATCAAATTCATGGTTGAACATTTGTTGCTTCTAAAAGAAGCCATAGCCATTCTGTCTGAATTACGGTGCCAAGTGGTTGATAGCAATTAAGAGTAATTCGTGAAAGGATTAAATGGGTTTGAGGAAAGGTGATATTCAATCATTTTATGTTAAACGGGGAAGCTTTTAAGATTAAGTAAATTTGTCAGTTTTTCAGTTCTCTTAAAACAAAAAAAAAAAAGTGACGTGGGAGACTGCATATAATTCCTTTGTGACTTTGTGTAATTTTTTCAGTAACATATCTGTGATTTGTAATGGTGCAACTGGCAAAGCAATTTGTATGAGGACTTCTAGTTTTACATTTGTGTTTAGCTCTAGAAGTCTAAAGCCTTTGTATTAATATACCATGTAGCTAATAGAAGAGAACCAAAGTCAATGCCCAAAACCATAAAGGAACACCTATTTATCCTTCTGTTTTTATTAATATAAAATCCTCCACCTGGAGCTTGATGATTGTATGTTGCAGTTGCACCTAAAGGTTTCAGTCCGGTCTGGACCCCTTGTGCTAGGCACTGTACAAACATAATAAATAACAGTCCCTACCCAAAAGAGCTTACAAACTAAAAGACAAGATGTAAACAATGGATGGGGGCAAACAAATAGGGTGAGGGATAGGATGAGTGGATGAGGGTGGAGTAACCAAAAATAAGTCATTTTAATAATAGCCAAAGACTAGATTTTCATATGTTTATACAACTGCTAGCATATCAGAAACCCCACTCAGGATTATTGGGATGTATTGGTCTATGGTAATATAAATATTAAGTAATAATTTAGCTCATCTTGAAGATGTAGGATGATCTTGTGATTAAAATGTAGGACTGAGCATTAGGAAACCTCAAGTTCTATTTCTGGCTCTGCTGTAGGCTTCCTCTTTAGTTTTCTGGGCAAGTTTCAGGCTGTCAGTGTTTGTATTCCCTTATGACAGGAGTATTGAATCTTAAATCATTATTCATACACTGCTTTGAGATTCCCAGATGGAAGGAGCTATAGAAATGCAAAGGATTAATATTTTGTTATTACCATCATATTTTAAATATTTTAAAGATTACTGTGTTTTATGCAACAGATGAAGTCAACTGAATTAAAAATAGACTGTCAGTCTAATTAACGTGGTTGGTTCACTGGTGGAACATCAGCCAGTCTCACCCATGCCATCAACACTGACTAATTTTAAGTTTAATCCTTTTTAAAAAAAAATCTAGTGAAGAAGAGGAGGAACTGGCACAGACATGACTACACAGAGTTTGATGATGGTTCCAAACCAGTCCAAGCTGGAACACGGACTTTTGTTAAACAACTGCGGGCTCGCTCGTTCCCAAGGTATGGAAACTTGCTTAGAAGTTAAATCATAAAAAGGGGGAAAACATTGGGTATTGATCATGTCTAAAAAGTCTTCCTAACGTGCCTCCACAAAAACACCACCATCACAAAAAAAACCTCCTTCTTACATGTCTGAGATCTAATTTTTTTCATCCAGCGTTTCATATCCATATATTTGCCTTCAAGGCACCTTGTTGTAGCATCCATCAATCAAATTACTACACATGGATGTAATTTCTTATGAAGTCTATCACTACCAACCCATATTGTTAGGTGTGTTGCCTCTTCAGCATTTTCAGCCTGTCTGGTCCAGGAAACAAGAGACTCAGAAATCACTTCCCATTTTCTCTCTCTAATGTAGACCACAAACATCGGAACAGTGGTTTATCTAGTCCCAGATGGTTCAGAAGAAGGTGAAGGAGATCCCTTGGTGCACAGTTATGTAATAACCTGGTCATAAAAGAAATTTCTTCCTTATTCCAGCAGTTAAGAGTTGGCTTACTCTCTAAAGCAAGATGACTTGTATCCCTTTTAAAAGAAAATGCTTTTTATTCTAATATATCAATATGTTGTCCTTATCCGTATAAGTGACTTTTTTTTGAATCCTCCTAAACTCTTGGCTTCAATGACATTTTATAGCAGAGTTCCCCAGATTAATTATACCTATAAACATGTACTTCCTTGATTTGGTTTTAAATTCGTTGTCTTTTAGTTTCATTAAATGTAATTAGCAGGCTTACCTTTACCTTGAGTGCTTAATTTAATACAATTGTATCCACTTATTTTAATTTGATTTATATTAGCTATGTAACTCTAATAAGATGTTTCCTTGAAACCTAACAAAGCTTTTGTTAATTTCTCTTTCAAACAGGTTTACTGTGTGGTTTTTTGTTTTTGTTTTCAGTGCTAATATTTTGTTTCCTCCTCCCCCCTCCCAGTGCTGATGAAATCATTCTGAAAATGCATGGCAGCCAGCTGACACACAGATACCTGGAGAAACATGGGTTTGATGTCCCTATTATGGTTCCTAAATTAGACGGTCTTGGGCTCAGACTCCCTCCCCCTACGTTCTCCGTTTTGGATGTGGAACGCTATGTAGGTAAGGGACTTCCTGGAATATGTGTGAATGCTTCAGTGTAGAGTGAATTAAATACAATAAATATTGGCATGGTTACAACAATTAAAGGATACTATATGCCTAATCTAAATGGAACAGTTCTTACCAGAAGGTTGGCAAGGGTAAATTAGACCTACCAATTTGGGTTTTGGGTATGGGTATGCATGTGACAATTGTATGCCCATAGCTCTCAACATTCACACCTGGCAACTTGTGGCACAAGCTATCAAAATGTGTGATGACTGAAATGTTGAACAGCTGTATTTTGTTCTGCAACACACCATAAGCAACAGGTTGTAATGGTTTTTGAGGATGTTTTCTTACACTGTGAATCAGATAAGCTAGTTTTGCAATCTGTACTCTAATGATGGGGATGGGGGGCTTTGTTACAGATTTTAAAAATGGTTTGTCGCACAGTGAGAACATCTTTTAAAGGGTTTTACATTTACCAATCATTGGTTGCTGATGGTGCATTGCACAACAAACCTTTTGCATATGTGAGGGTGTCCCTAGGGTGTCTGGGGTATTGGGGAGAAGGTCCTTGCCTGGGCTTCTTATGTGGCTGTGGGGGTGGGGGTGAATTTAGGGAGAGAGGGATGCTACCTTCCCAGCTGCTCCAAAATACCATCTCCCCACCTACACTGTTAATACATGGAGGTTATAGCTGCTGCTTGAGTCCAGGGACTCCCAGCTGCTGCATCTCTGGAACCCCCTGCTCATCTCTGCCCCTTCCCCTCCAAGGAGCAGAGCAGCCTGAGAGGGAAGGAGAGGAGCAGACAGTAGGTTTCAGATAGGTGAGGAGGGAGGGAGGTAGCTGCAGGGCAGAAATATTCACAGTTGGCGGATGAGGTAACAGGAGGAGACTGAAAGCTCAGGGTCAGATCAGCTTCCTTCCTCCTCACCTCTCTTATATCTGTAAACTGTTGGCTCCTCAGTCTATCTGATCCTTCCCTTTATAAGCTTTTTTTCTGCTCCTTGGAGGAGTGGGGGAGAAGTTCAGGGAGCACCATAGCTTCAGCAGGAGCATTTAGTCTTCCGTCAGGCTTGCTGGGCAGTCTCTAACCACCTCAGGACCACCTGAATATGTATTTCAGTGGGACAGTGAGACTGAGCCAGCTGCAGTGTGGAATGTGCTGCATAATATACTACAGCTAAGAGTTTTCTGTGTGCCTTGCATCATCTCTTGTGTTCTTTTGGTAGCATATTGAAATGCACTACAAACAGGACTTTTGTGCTTATCAGTGTTTTAAGACTCCATTAGAATACACTATGTGCAGTATACTGAACGACCTGACCATATACTGATTACTCAGTCCCCTTATTGATTGCTCATGGTTGCTCGGAAGAATAGCTGGCATTTCAACAATTCTGTGACTTTATTTTGGAAGTCTGGCTATTCCGGGGCTATCCCTCCACCCCACACACACTTCCACACACTCAGTTTGGCACATCAGTTTCCCTGGTTCTTTTTCAAGAAGTGTCCGTGTGTGTGCTCCACTTTAGGTGAATGTGTGTGTCTGCACCTGTGATCGGAGAATTTCAGTGGCAGTGCCCATTTGGGCATAAGCTTTTGTGGGTAAAAACCTCACTTCTTCGGATGCATCTGAAGAAGTGAGGTTTTTACCCACAAAAGCTTATGCCCAAATAAATCTGTTAGTCTTTAAGGTGCCACCAGACTCCTTGTTGTTTTTGTAGATGCAGACTAACACGGCTACCCCCTGATACTTAGTGCCCATTTGGGTCACACATGTGCTCTCCCCGTCTTGTGCCACTCCTGGCAGCTACATAGCGCTATGCAACCAAACCAGCCTCAATTTCTTTTCATCTGTCCTTGAGCTGTTCATGGTAGCGCCTCTTTGCTTGCTTCACGTTTACCTCTGAGAGTTAGTGTTTATATAGTTTTAGAGTAGAGTTAGTTAACTATAGCTACCCTCCTCTCTCATCGTTTATTTTCTTTCATCCTTAGTGTACCTTTAACCTTCTTCACTTGGGGGAAGGCTACTGACAGGGCATGCCCGGATCCCTGGGATTTAAACAATGCCTTTCTTACTGGGAGGCAATCCCAGTGAGTGATGGGCATTCTCAGTGTGTCCAATGTCTGGGTGAGACACACGTACCTTAGAAGTGCCCCCATTGCCACAACCTCAAGGCTTGCGCCAGAAAATCAGGGGACTTAAGTTGAAACTTATCCTGATGGAAAAGTCACTGCACCTGGCTTCTGACCCCCAGACCGCTTTGCACCATGGACACCAGTCTTTGCCAATCCCAGTGACAGCCTCTGGCAGACATTCCCCACCACCTTCAAAAAGGAAGTCTTCTAAAAAGGTGGACAAAAAGCAGGCAACAACCTCCCCTACCAGGGAACCAGCTAAAAAGGAAAAAAAAACCCAGCTCATTCAACACTCTTGGTACCGACCACAGTGCTGTTGAGCCCCTCCAAGTGGGCAGGATCCTCCAATACTGCTGGTACCACGAAAGCCAAAGACCCTAAGGGGGTGGTCTCTGAGAGGAGTGGCAAAGAGAAGCTTACCACCTCCTCCATGGTACTGATGGAGCCGCTTAAATGTGTGGCATTGGGCAGCTTAGCATTGCTGTATTCTGCTGCGTGATGTACCAGTCACCTAGTGCATAGCACAGCCAGATCAGTACCGACAACCGCTACAACTTCAGCGGCACCAACAAAAACGTCCTCGGTACCGATGCTTGTGGTACCTAAACAATTCCTTTTCCACAAGGACCTTCCAATTTCTGCAACACCAGAATCTCCCCTTCTTGGTACTGATATTACTCAGCATTCTTGATACAGTGCCAATCTACACCCCCATCCAGATAGGCCCCTCCTTTCTCCAGTGAGGAGGAGGATAAGGAGGAAGGGGACATTTACTTCTCATCCATTCAGGCAACCACCAGACCTGGTCCACGGGAACAACCCACGTATCACCCCAGGGTTAACACCCATTGGTGGCATGGACATCCATGGATGCCACCACCAATACCATTCCCACTGCAGTGGCCTTATTGGGATCCATAGGCTGCATACAGGCAACACTATTCTAGGACTTCTAGCACTCACAGGGAGAGACTGAGATGCTCCCCATCCTCGGTAGGTGTGGACCCTCTGAAGAGACTTTTGATCAGGAAGTCACCCTACCGACCAATATCTCTTCATCCTCTCTGGATGAAGCTGTCATGCCTCCTCCACCCCCAATAGCTGATGACTTTAGACAATTCCAGGAGCTATTTAAAAGGATTGCTTACTCACTCAAGATACCCTTGGAAGAGGTTGCAGAGTCTCAACACAAGCTGTTGGACATTTTACAAACATCAACCTCATCGAAGATTGCGCTCCCCCTAAATGAGGCACCCATGGATCCAGCCAAGATAATCTGGCAGGCCCCCTGCAATGATGCCACCCACCTGTCAGAGATAAGAAGTACAAAGTCCCCTCTAAGGGTCCACAAGATATCACTACAAATACTCAGAAGAAAATCCATAGACATAGGACCAAATCCTGCAGAGAATTAAGCATGTGTGTATCTTTAAGCATGCAAGAAGTCCAGTGGGATTACTCCATGCTTAGTTATTCATATGCTTAAACCTTTGCTGGATCAGGGCTATAAGTTTCATTATTGCTTGTAGAAAATTTGTAGTAGACATTGAGTTAAGTGCTCAGATACTGTGGTGATGACTACTATAGAAATATATACAAATAAATGTATTCTTGATAACTTCCTCCTACCCTCTCTTCCTTTTGGTGACAGAAGCCACAAAACCAAGCATATGAACCAGCTAGTCATGTTAGGTTCCTCTTTTTCCTTTTGGTTAACCACAGAAGTGGTGACTTATTTTATTTTTAGATTAGGTTCAGTTATATTCTTAAATAACAGTAACAAATTATATCTAGATAAGATCTTGGTTTACTCTTGTCCCTCTTTGTTTTGGGGAGGGTGGGGTAGTGGAGTTCATTTGTGTACAAATGGATTGTCATATCTTGCAGAAAATATTAAACATATGTCTTGTTAAAATGTTAATTTTTTCTTATTTTTACAGGTGGCGACAAAGTGATAGATGTAATTGATGTGGCAAGGCAGGCAGACAGTAAAATGAAGCTTCATAATTATATTAAGTATTTCATGAATCCTGATCGACCAAAAGTATTAAATGTGATCAGTCTGGAGTTTTCAGACACAAAGTGAGTAAATGACTTTGAGACAACTTGACTTGGACTCCTTTGAAGTAGAAAGTAGATTTTGCTAAAACAAAGAGTAAATGTAGAAGTATAAGTAAATAGTACTCTAAAATAAATGAAATGGTTTCAACAGATGGCTCAGGCAGTGGTGCTATAAGGAGGGCTTTGGGATGTGTGGCCACTGGAAAGCATTCATGGACAGAGGACTGTTCTCTCGGGTTGGACTTCACCTGAGTAAGGAGGGAAATAGACTTCTAGGATGGAGGCTGGCACAACTGATTAAGAGAGCTTTAAACTAAGAATTTGGGGGAGATGGTTGGGAGATGTCCAGGTAATCTCCACGCTAGAATTTAACATTGAGAGGGAAGAAAATGAAGTAAGAAAGGCTACAGCCGTGGGTATGAGAATGGACATAAGGAGGAAGGGTAGTGTAGATACCAGTCTAATAGGTAATACTGGTGGTAAAATGTCTGTGCCTAATTGGGTAAAGAATGTCAGTGAAGCCAAACGGCAAAAATTAAGATGTTTGTACACTAATGCGAGGAGGCTAGGTAACAAAATGGAGGAACTAGAGTTACTGGTGCAGGAAGTGAAACCAGATATTATAGGGATAACAGAAACATGGTGGAATAGTAGTCATGACTGGAGTACAGGTATTGAAGGCTATGTGCTGTTTAGGAAAGATAGAAATAAAGGCAAAGGTGGTGGAGTAGCATTGTATATCAGTGATGAGGTAGACTGTAAAGAAATAAGAAGTGATGGAATGGATAAGACCGAGTCTGTCTGGGCAAAAATCCATTGGGAAAGAAAGCTACTAGAGCCTCCCCTGAGATAGTGCTTGGGGTGTGCTACAGACCGCCGGGATCTGATTTGGATATGGATGGAGACCTCTTTAATGTTTTTAATGAAGGAAACACTAATGGGAATTGTGTGATCATGGGAGACTTTAACTTCCCAGATATAGACTGGAGGATAAGTGCTAGTAATAATAATAGGGCTCAGATTTTCCTGGATGCGATAGCTGATAGATTCCTTCACCAAGTAGTTGAAGAACCAACAAGAGGGGATGCCATTTTAGATATGGTTTTGGTGAGTAGTGAGGACTTCATAGAAGAAATGGTTGTAGGGGACAACCTTGGTTCGAGTGATCATGAACTAATTCAGTTCAAACTAGATGAAAGGATAAACAAAAATAGATCTGGAACTAGGGTTTTTGATTTAAAAAGGGCTAACTTTAAAGAATTAAGGAAATTAGTTAGGGAAGTGGATTGGACTGAAGAACTTGTGGATCTAAAGGCGGAGGAGACCTGGAATTACTTCAAGTCAAAGTTGCAGAAACTATCAGAAGCCTGCATCCCAAGAAAGGGGAAAAAAAATCATAAGCAGGAGTTGTAGACCAAGCTGGATGAGCAAGCATCTAAGAGAGGTGATTAAGAAAAAGCAGAAAGCCTACAAGGAGTGGAAGATGGGAGGGATCAGCAAGGAAAGCTACCTTATTGAGGTCAGAACATGTAGGGATAAAGTGAGAAAGGCCAAAAGCCATGTAGAGTTGGACCTTGCAAAGGGAATTAAAACCAATAGTAAAAAGTTCTATAGCCATATCAATAAGAAGAAAACAAAGAAAGAAGTGGGACCGCTAAACCCTGAGGATGGAGTGGAAGTTAAGGATACTCTAGGCATGGCCCAATATCAAACAAATACTTTGCCTCAGTCTTTAATGAGGATCTTAGGGATAATGGTAGGATGACAAATGGGAATGAGGATATGGAGGTAGATATTACCACATCCGAGGTAGAAGCCAAACTCGAACAGCTTAATGGGACTAAATCGGGAGGCCCAGATAATCTTCATCCAAGAATATTAAAGGAACTGGCACATGAAATTGCAAGCCCATTAGCAAGACTTTTTAATGAATCTGTAAACTCAGGGGTTGTACTGTACGACTGGAGAATTGCTAACATAGTTCCTATTTTTAAGAAAGGGAAAAAAAAAAAGTGACCCGAGTAACTATAGGCCTGTTAGTTTGACATCTGTAGTATGCAAGGTCTTGGAAAAAATTTTGAAGGAGAAAGTAGTTAAGGACATTGAGGTCAATAGTAATTGGGACAAAATACAACATGGTTTTACAAAAGGTAGATCGTGCCGAACCAACCTGATCTCTTTCTTTGAGAAGGTAACAGATTTTTTTAGACAAAGGAAACGCAGTGGATCTAATTTACCTCGATTTCAGTAAGGCATTTGATACGGTTCCACATGGGGAATTATTAGCTAAATTGGAGAAGATGGGGATCAATATGAAAATTGAAAGGTGGACAAGGAACTGGTTAAAGGGGAAACTACAACGGGTCATACTGAAAGGTGAACTGTCAGGCTGGAAGGAGGTTACTAGTGGAGTTCCTCAGGGATCGGTTTTGGGACCAATCTTATTTAATCTTTTTATTACTGATCTTGGCACAAAAAGTGGGAATGTGCTAATAAAGTTTGCGGATGACACAAAGCTGGGAGGTATTGCTAATACAGAGAAGGACCGGGATATCCTACAGGAAGATCTGGATGACCTTGTAAACTGGAGTGATAGTAATAGGATGAAATTTAATAGTGAAAAGTGCAAGGTCATGCATTTAGGGATTAATAACAAGAATTTTGGTTATAAATTGGGGACACATCAGTGGGAAGTAACAGGAGGAGAAGGACCTCGGAGTATTGGTTGATCACAGGATGACTATGAGCTGCCAATGTGATATGGCCGTGAAAAAAGCTAATGCGGTCTTGGGATGCATCAGGCGAGGTATTTCCAGTAAAGATAAGGAGTTGTTAGTACCATTATACAAGGCACTGGTGAGACCTCATCTGGAATACTGTGTGCAGTTCTGGTCTCCCATGTTTAAGAAGGATGAATTCAAACTCGAACAGGTACAGAGTAGGGCTAGTAGGATGATCCGAGGAATGGAAAACCTGCCTTATGAAAGGAGACTCAAAGAGCTTGGCTTGTTTAGCCTAACCAAAAGAAGGCTGAGGGGAGATATGATTACTCCTTTATAAATATATCAGAGGGATAAATATCAGGGAGTGAGAGGAATTATTTAAGCTTAGTACCAATGTGGACACAAGAACAAATGGATATAAACTGGCCATCAGGAAGTTTAGACTTGTAATTTAGACGAAGGTTTCTAACCATTAGAGGAGTGAAGTTCTGGAACAGCCTTCCAAGGGGAGTAGTGGGGGGAAAAAGACATCCGGCTTCAAGACTAAGCTTGATAAGTTTATGTAGGGGATGGTATGATGGGATAGTCTAATTTTGGCAATTAATTGATCTTTGATTATTAGCAGGTAAATATGCCCAATGGTCTGTGATGGGATGTTAGATGGGGTGGGATCTGAGTTACTACAGAGAATTCTTTCCTGGGTGCTGGCTGGTGAGTCTTGCCCACATGCTCAGGGTTTAACTGATTGCCATATTTGGGGTCGGGAAGGAATTTTCCTCCAGGGCAGATTGGCAGAGGCCCTGGAGGTTTTTCGCCTTCCTCTGCAGCGTGGGGCATGGGTCACTTGCTGTAGGATTCTCTGCACCTTGAGGTCTTTAAACCACAATTCGAGGACTTCAATAACTCAGACATAGGTTAGGGGTTTGTTACAGGAGTGGGTGGGTGAGATTCTGTGGCCTGCGTTGTGCAGGAGGTCAGACTAGATGATCATAATGGTCCCTTCTGACCTTAAAGTCTATGAGTAGACTATTTTGTGCTGCGATTTGGGGACAGTATGGAATCATATAGAAGTAAACATTTTTACAGTTTGAGAGACTTAGGAAAGGTAAACATTTAAAGATGTCTCTCATCATTACTTGCACTTAACTATCATTTACTTACTTCTTAAGGATGTCTGAATTGGTGGAAGTCCCTGACATTGCCACAAAGCTTTCGTGGGTGGAAAACTACTGGCCAGATGACTCCGTCTTCCCCAAGCCTTTTGTTCAGAAATATTGCTTGATGGGAGTTCAGGACAGCTACACTGATTTTCATATTGATTTTGGGGGCACGTCAGTCTGGTACCATGTTCTGTGGGTAAGAATGTCCTTGCTTCCTGAATGCTTGAAAATGATTTTGTCCTGTGTACATCTTCTTGCCACAAAAGAAACCTGTGTTCAGGGATTTCCTCATGTATTTTGAATGAAATTGTTAGTTTGAGAAGGGGGCAGAGGAGGATTACTGACTGTGCACTGTTGTTCAGTCCTCTGTACAAGTTGACCCCCTAGATGAAAATGCCAATCTCTGCGCTTTCTAGCAGATAGGTGGATGCTATCCTGAGCATTTTGTAGGAGAAAATGAATGAAATGACAAACCGAACTTTTCTCAAACATTAGCTCACACTGCTTTCTGAATTGCAGCAGCCATATACCTGAGGATGACTGGACACAACTTCCACTAGAACTAATAAGTTGTTCCTTAATGTGGCACTTTCCTTGTCCCAAAACCCCCAAAGGGTGGAATGTACTACACAGTTAGCTTCTGGTAGACCAAAGAGTGACATAGAGGGTTGGAAAACCTAGGGCACTCACATGGAAGTACAGGATATTACTATTAGATTACAGGGCTTGCCTGACAATAATACTGTTTATGTAAACTATTCCAAAATTGTACCATACCTCATATGGGATATTTTTTTATGTACAGGGTGAGAAGATCTTCTACTTGATCAAACCTACTGATGAAAATCTGGCTCTCTATGAATCTTGGAGTTCCTCTGTCACCCAGAGTGAAGTGTATTTTGGGGATAAGGTAGACAAATGTTATAAATGTGTGGTGAAACAAGGACATACCTTATTTGTTCCTACAGGTAAGATTTTACCTCCTTCCCCCCCCCACCTCCAAGCAGTTTGTGTACTTGTGTTATATCACCAGCAAATTCAGGATATCAAAAGATAAGCATTAAATTATCATTTTTAGAAATATCCTAAAGTTTGAGGAAGAGATTGGGTATCAATTCCAAGTATTTTTAAGACAGACAAACAGAGCAAAATATCAGTCCTTTAAAATGTTTAACTAGTTGGAAAATTTCTTAAGAAATGGACTTGGGTTTTTGTTGCGTGATTCATAGTAGTAATGTTTAAGGAGAAAAAGACAAGATTAGAGTTTGATAACTTTCCAGCATGGATAGAGATGTGCCAGCTATTTCTGCAGCAAAACATTTAAAACGTGTTTCCTCTTATGTGGCGTCCAGTCACTTATAATATTTCTAAGGACATGCAACATTTTGGCCATTTTTATCTCTGTCCAGGTACAAATGGACATTTCCTGTGATTGTTAGGTGGCCTCCAAAATATGTTCACAAATGGAGTTGCAATTCAAATTTAATCTTGCATTCGGACAAGTAGTGTTTAATGGGTATGCTCTAGGTCATCACTGAAACATAGTTCAAGAAACAATTCTTGCACAAGGAGCAAACAACAGATAAGAACTTCAAAGCCTGAAATTAGAAGTTGCTCACAGATAAGTACTTGGGGAGATTAAACGGTTTGCCTAATATTTAGCAGCAGGTCTGGGAATAGTTGACTGAACTTTGCTGAATTGATTCTACCGGTAATATACATCTATAGAGTTGAACGGTTTGGGAAGAGGAAAATGAGTGTATGCTATTTACCTGAATTAAAGCTGTTGAAGGCAAACTTAAACTACATCCACTTTTAAATAAGAAGCCAATAGATATATACTTTTGTGTGCATATTTGAAGTTATTTGAGCTTCAGTAGTAGCTAGGTAGAGACGTACAATATTATTGGCCTGTGCTCATCATATTAAATTGTGGTATTATGAGCACAATCTTCCAATTACATGACAAATTAGTAGTGTAAGAGTGATTATTAGTCTTGGTTTTAATTTGATCATAGTTTCATTGGGCTATTATATAATGGCTACGGTTTAGGATAATTAGTGGAAGTACTTCCACTATTCTTTTCTGAATAACTTAAATAGGGCTATAATTCCTTGTTAGATAAAACATTCAGACAAAAGTATTTTGTTTGTTACGAGTAACACCTGAGATTACAATGAACTGAAAGATTAACAAGAAATTATTTTTTCTTGTGATTACTTTGTGTATAGTCTGTTTCATGAAAGTCAATTTCCTCGGGTTTGTGGGTTTTTCACATAGCAAATGGGGTGGGAAGAGGGAGAGAAAATGTTTTGTTTTTTTAATAGGAATGTGGTTTTAAAACCATAAAGGCCTTGGATAGGTGCAACTTCTGTAACTACTATTAACTTAAAAAAAACAAAAACACAAACAAACCTAGATTTCAGATTGATAACTTGTATTTTGCTGAAATGCAAATTGTCACTCTCTGGCCTTGTATACACACACATCTGGTATTTTTGTTCCCAAACCCAGGTACAACATTTTGTAGTGTAGATGCATATTAAGTTTCATGTTTTTGTCAATTCAGGCTGGATTCATGCTGTGCTCACATCTCAGGACTGTATGGCTTTTGGAGGAAACTTTTTGCACAACCTCAATATTGGCATGCAGCTCAGGTTAGTTTCATCTGTCTGTTTTGACTATACCGTTTCCTCCACAAGCGGGCATCCTTCTTTTTAATAGATAGTTTTCATCATGCTTGTTAAATGGGATTAAATGGAGACAGGGTCTGGTAATGGACATTGCTGCTTTTTTTAGTTTGTGCCAGAAGCAGACTTTAATCTATTTCACTTCAACAAGAACAACAGAGTCTCCAATGAATGTTCTGCACAAATTTAATTCCATCCTAAAATCAAACAAGCTCTACTTTGGAGATTAGTACAAAAAAGAGAAATGCTAGAACTGGTCGCTCAGGTGTGAAATTCTGAGATGGAAGGAGCAACCTTCAGTCAGGATTGCTGTCAGGACAGCTATATTAATTGTTGTCCAAGATGTGGAGCTGTCTTCTAAACCTACTGTTTTATTTATTACAGTGGAATCCCAATTAAATTCCATCTGTTAAAAGATTATACATTGGGTTTGTATCCTAGTTTTATGAAGTCCAACTTTTATTTTTGCAAGTGCAGCAGTCAAACTTGATAGAGATCGGATAAGATCATAGTTCAGTCTTATCCGAATGTGGTCTTGTTGGGGTTTGGCTATGTGGAACTTGATTTGTTTTGTTTATCATGACCTGTTGGTTTTATTTTTCTGAACATTGTACGAGTTGGATATTGCATTGATTAATTCTAAAATGTACCCATGTAGTAATCTTTCTAAAATATTTGTTTAGGTGTTATGAAATGGAGAAAAGGCTAAAAACCCCAGATCTTTTCAAATTCCCTTTCTTTGAAGCCATCTGTTGGTTTGTGGCCAAAAACTTACTGGAAACTTTGAAAGGTAACTAATTTCATGTTTTAATAAGATTTTGAGCATCTTGGCTTTCTTTCACCTTGGGAAGGTCATGGTCTCCATCTCATGACAAATATGTAATCTGGAGAAGTTGGGTGAGCTGGGGAGCGTAGTCTTTGCGTGGTTTGAGTTCCTAACTGGGAAAAGCTTGTATAATTTGTTTACCAAAATCTGTTCTTTTGATTTTGCAAATGCTGCACTGTTACAGTTCTTCATCTAATCATTTTTGCTTTCAGTAAATGGTAATTCTGAATATTGATGTGAAGACTGACTAACAGTAAAACTCCGTTTGCAGAAGTCTAGGTGTATAAATTGATTACTCTGGCATTTTTTTAGTATTTGAAGTGAAACTCAATGTCAGTTGTTTTTTTCAGATGCCAACAGCATAATTGGCCAGTGAAAATAAATTTCTCTAAACAGTATTAAGTTTTTTAAGTTTGGACACACTGGGTATCTAAGATCTTGGGAAAATACAATCTTGCTGGGAAGGCTAAACCTAACATAGTAGAGTTAGTTCCCTGCTGACTGAAAGGACCATGTTAAACCTGATGGTTGTAAAATGTATTCCAACGCCTCTAGATCACCTCTTCATGAGGTACCTTCCAAAGATACCGAGCATTTAAGATACATAACATCATGCATTATCTATCTCTGTAAAACTCTTCCTATTGTCTGTCTTGGTGAGATTCTCAATTTGATCAAAGAGACTCCTTCAAGAAGTCAGGGTTTTACATTATCATCTTGAGGTGCTTATTGTGGTAAGTGTTTTGAGAAGAAATTATTGATCCAATGTAACTCTCTTTAAAAAGCTCAAGTAACTTACACGGGATATTTTTTCTGTTTTTCTGATGACGGTCTCTTTGCCTTGTAGAAGCAGTGAACTCCGCTTTTAGTGACACAGCCAGCACAAATTCATTTAAAAAATTTTTTGCTTTCTTTAAAAGTTGTCACTTTTACAAAGTCCATTTTTTTTCATTTATTCCCTTCCATTGACATTTTCCCCTTTCATGGGAATCTGTTGCTCATGTCCTCAAAATTGATTCACCCTTCTTGAACTTCAGCTTTGACTGGCTTTTATGCTAAACTGTAAATTTTTTCAAAAGCACCTAAATGATTTAGGAGCCTAAGACCATTGAGAGGCAGTGGGATTTAGGGTTCTAAATTATGTTGGCTCTTTTGAAACTTTTACCCAAGATCTCATCCCCATTAGATAAAGCAGTATCCTCACAATACTTTGTGGACTGCAAGATTGAAAGAGTTTTTAAGAGGAGCCTTGAATACTCCTCCATTGCTATATATGCTGAAGTAGCATTTGTTGTCAACTCATATGGCCCTATCAATCAATCACTCCTTTGTATACTCTTTAAAAAAAAAAAAAAAAAAAAAAAAAATGCTATCGCAACTGGAAAGAGTGATCCTAAGAAAAAGCTTCCTTCTGTCAGGAGGATATTAGGTTGTATCTGCAGTTCTTATGACATCATTCTCTGGCAGGTCTGTCTTCTCTAACACCCTAGCACAAGTAAATGTGTGACTGCAGGTTTTGATTCACCTCTTCCAAGCGAAACCCTCTTCAGGCTCCCTTTTGAGGGTGAATTATTTTGAGACTAGAAAAATTTTGAAAGATATGTTAGTCCTTAGATCTAATTAAATCTATCTAGAAATGCTAGGGGAGCTTCATTCATTTTGCTACAGTTGGAATTTCCAGTCATTCAAAAATCAGTCTTTCTTTCATGCCATTGGGGTTAGGACATTCTCCTACCCCACCCCAAGGGGCTGTCACAGATAGACCTTCTCCATAGACAAATCCTGCTGACCCAGGATCATCTTCCCTAAGAGACTCAAGAACATCTTTAAAACCTGAGCCACTACCATTTCAAACAAGGGCTTCTTCAAAGATTTAAAAAATCCCAATCCACTAACTTTCCTGGTTTCCCCTCTCAAGACCTAGTGAAAAGAAACAATATCCTGAACAGTATCACAAAAGCTCTTTCACTTGGGACAATCATCCATTCAGTCAGAATAGAAGCTTTAGTTTCTGCTCCTGATTCTTTGTGGTAATTTAAAAAAAAAAAAAAAAAAAAAAAAAAGGGGAGGGGGTAGGTGGTGGTGGAGTTTTTACCTGACTGTGGGCCTATCTATCTTCTACACAACCTGCGGCAGCAAGCCTTCCAGCCCTGGTCGACAGACTCAGGCTAGCGGAGTTCACACTGGCACTCTAAAAATAGCTGTGTAGATAACACTTTGAAGTTGGGGCTCAGGTTGGAGCTCAGGCTCTGAAGCCTAGGGAAGTGGGAGGGCTGAGTCTGATGATCTGGACTGAGAAGAGTGCTTAAGACTCCATTCAGGGTGGAAACTCTTGCCCTTCTGATCCAAGAGACAGACCCCAGGATTTCTCTTTTCCTAGACCTCCTTGGTCCTCTGTGTAGTGGAGATCAGATCACAAGGACTGCACCTGCACTTTCCTGATCAGTTGCACATTACTAGCTGCCTCCACCTTCCAGTTCTTTTGTGACGGTCAGACAGGAAGCTCCCTGAAGGAGTTATGACTGGGGTCCTGTGAGTGATTGCTGCTCAACTCTACTTTGGTTTATAATCAGACCTCCACTCCTTTGCCTCCCCATTTTCTAGTCGGTCTTTTACTGAAGTACCTATTTAGTTAATCTTTTGCTAATTATTATAGCACCCCAAAGCCTAGTATGTGCTTTACATTGTAAATAAAGAACTAGGTCCCTGCCCAAAAAAACCCTATAGTTCTTGGCATTTTTTCTGTTGAAGCTTTGATGTAATCAACTGCTGTAACTTATCCTGGAAGCAAAAGTGAGAGTCAAGGCCCTGTGTTTTGAGGACTAGGAATCTGTTTTGGTGCTGCTTGTTTCAACACAGTCCAAAATTCCTGCTGAATTCTGCCATCTCAGCTTTGACTACTACATGCAAGATGCCTGTGCCATCTGCATTGAAGCCAAGGTATTAAAAATGTGTCCTCACTTCAGCCCCACAGCAGTTGTCATTTTTACTTGACTACAGCTCATATGACATTGCTTCAGTAAAAACACCAACTCCAGGAGACACGACCTCCCCCACCTTCCACCCTCCTCTCCAAACTCACGACACTCCTCCCTTTCTCCCCTGAGGACAGCTTCTCCCTTCCCCAGCGACAAGGAGGAAGAGGACTCCATCGCGTCTTCTTATTCCAAACAGGAGCAAACAACTTCATCTAGATACCTTCGCTATGCACAACCCTGGTATGGACCACCGTGGATGCAATCTCACGTTCTGCTCCCCCACACATTGGCCATGTTGGGACCCTTGGGCCACGTATAGGGCACAATTTGGGAAGCCTTCCATGGTGCATAGCCAGAGACCTGCACCTTTGCCTTCTCCATCAGTCTCTCGCCACCAGAGACTGAACCTTTCCTGGTACTGGACAAGGAGGAAGAACAGGAGGATGAAGCTCCACCAGGACTACATTTCTCTTCTTCCTGTGATGAGGCTGTCATGCCCCCATCTCCTACTGCTGCTGATGACTTCAGGCACTTTCAAGAATTATTTCATGGGATTGCAGTCTCCCTCTAGGTTCCTTTGGAAGAAGTGAAAGATCAGCAACATAAACCACACTACTCAATATCCTGCACACATCATCTTCTGAAAAAATTGCCCTACCTATAAGAGACTCGATCCCATGAAAGTGCTCTAGCAGACTCTGGTGTCCATCCCTCTGAACTGCAAATGGCAGACAAAAAATATTATGTTCCCACAAAAGAGATGGAATTTCATTTGTCGCATCCCACTCCCAATTCCCTAGTAGTTCATGCGGTGTAAGAAAAAAGACAGCAATGTCAACCTTAATCGATCCATCAGGACAGAGACTCGAAACGATTAGATTTATTCAGATGCAAGGCTTATTCTTCTGCAGTGCTCCAATTTCACATAGTGAATTACGAAGCTCTTATGGCCAAGTACAACTACCTCAACTACTCCAAGATAGAGGAACTCTGCCAAGACCTGCCTGCAGCCAAGAAAGAACAATGCCAGGCACTTATGTCTGAGGGACACCTCCTGGCCCATATAGCCCTACAAGCTTCTTCAGACTCTGTGGATACCGTCGCCTGCTCCATCGCAACTGCTGTAGTCCTGAGGCAGGCATCATGGCTACACCTCTCAGGCTTTCCTAAGGAAGTACAAACCATAGTAGAAGACTTACCTTTTGAGGGCCCCAAATTATTTGCGGCGCGTACGGATTACTCCCTACACTCCCTTAAAGACTCCCTAGCTACTCTCCGCTCTCTTAACATTTACACACTTGCGCTGAAGAGATGTCGGGGAAAGTATCATCTTCCCCTGCAATCTCAACCACCGCAGTACACTCCCCAGTAGAAGTATGACTCTCAGCGTCGACAACAAAAGCCCCCTACCAAACGCAGACAGGCCACTCCTGAAGGGGCTACCTCGTACAAACCTCCAGCCAAGCAACAAATTTGAAGGTGTGGTTGAGGCCCCCAAGAAGCCTCCCCCTGTGCCAGTCATACCAACCATCTTCGATATCCCATAAGTATGGCGAATGCTTAGCTCTGTTCTTTCCATCATGGAGCCTAATCCCTGACGATCTCTAGAACTCACTTGTCCGAGGTGAAGGATACTCATCCCTTTTCTATCTATCCCGCCCTGCCACCCTCCTTCCCCATCCCTCTTCAGGGACCCCTTTTATGGACCCCTTCTACGAGAAGAAATAAATCATCTTCTGCAACTGGGAGTCATAGAGCTGGTCCCTTCCCAACACGGGTCAGGGTTTCTGCTCCCATTATCATCTGGTCCAGAAGAAATACGGCAGCTGGTGGCGGATCCTGGATCTTTGAAACCTAAACAAGTTTGTCAAACTGCAGCGCTTCAAGATGGTTACCCCCTCCACCATTATCCCAGTACTGGAACACGAGGACTGGTTCTCTGCCCTTGACCTCCAAGACTTATTTTTCCATATCACAGTACACTCTGCCTACACATAGTTTCTACGATTCACCATGAACACCGCCCTCCATCAGTACAAGGTAATGCCTTTTGGACTGTTGACGGCCCTTTGTGTAGTCTCCAAAGTTCTTGCAGTAGTCGCTGCCTACCTAAGGAAATAAGGTGTCGTCCTACTTAGAAGACTGTCTTCTCAAGGCCCTATCCGAAACAGAGGCTCTTCGTGCCATCTGGGTGACAATGGACCTTTTTATGAATCTAGGCCTCTGTGTGAACCTAGAGAAGTCTACTTTAACACTGGTACAACATCTGGAGTTCATTGGCATACAATTATATGCCATACAAGCCACAGCCTTCCTTCTACCTCACAGATTCTCGACTATAGTGGATCTTGTATCCAAAGTACGAGCCTGCCCCCAGATCTCCGCCAGGGCGTCTCTCTAACTACTTGGTCACATGGCAGCAGCCACTTTTGTGGTAAAGCATGCATGGTTACATATGCAATGTCTTCAGGCATGGCTCCGTATAGTATATGTCCCTCACAGACACAGCCTCCACAAACTTTTATCCATGCTGATGAGAGTCAAGGACTTGCTACTCCCGGTGGACACATCCCAAGAACATCTGTGTCAGGGTTCCTTTCCTCCAACCAGTGCTGACCATGATTCCAACAACCAATGCATCTCTAATCAGTTGGGGAGCATACCTTCACAATCATACAGCGCAGGGCAGATGGTCTTTAATCGAATCCACCCTACACATCAACCTCCTAGAGCCAAAGGTGAAAGTAAGCTGGTCCGGTATGGCATATTGGTAAGAGCCAGTACACAGCCAACCGTACTGGCAGGGCCACTGATGAGGGGGGCCAAAAGGGGCAGCTTCCCCGGGGCCCGGCAATTTAAAAGGGCCCGGAGCTTCTGGCAGCGGCTGGAGTCCCCAGCCCTTTAAATCGCTGCCAGAGCCCCTGGACTCCCGGCTGCTGCTACCGCTACCATGGGGCTCCGGCAGCAATTTAACTGGCCCGGGGCTCCCAGCTACCGCTGCCAGCATTGTCACCACTGCGGACTCATGGAGCATGAGATTCTCCCACGACCAAGAGTGGGAACTGGATACACAAATCCTTCAGCTCATTTTCAACTGCTGGGGATTCCCCACCATAGAGCTTTTTGACACACTGCAAAATGCCCACTGTCCTCAATTCTGCTCGAGAGCAGGACTGGGACATGTATCTCTGGGAGATGCATTCCTCATCACATGGGATGCACCACTACTCTGTGCCTTCTATGCCATTAGCTTTCTGCCTGGACAGGACTAAACCTTTCTGAAAATCACCACGTTTATTCCTTTCATGGACCGAAAGATCCAAGGACACAGCCATCTCTTAACAATACCTTTCCAAGTGGATCTTGCAGTGTATACATCTGTCCTACCAACTACACAATCAACAACCTCCTATTGCAATTAGAGCACATTCTACCGGCTCGCTTTCCACCTCCATTGCCTTTCTCAGTAATGTTCCCATTGCTGACATTTGCAAAGTGGTTACATGGGCATCAACAGACACTTTTGCCCATCACTACGCCTTTACTCATGACACCACAGCAAACACTTTCCTAGGACATACTGTCCTATCATCTGCAGTAAATGCTGCTTCAAAGCCCCTCCTTCCAATTAGGGGCACTGCTTCTTAGTCACCTACAGTGGAGCATCCATAGGGACATCATTTGAAGAAGAAGAAGAAAAGGTTACTCACTCTGTGCAGTAACTGAAGTTTTTTGAGATGTGTGTCCCTATCGGTGCTCCAATACCCACTCTCCTCCCCTCTTCTTCGGAGTCAACACATAGGCTCTGCGGCAGAGAAGGACCTGGAGGGCAGTTGGATCTCAGTGTTATATACATCCTGCTCAGAGCACAAGAAGGGAGAGGTGCGCATGTGCAGTCCAGGCACTTATGATGATCTCCTGTCCCGGGTGCAGGGGGCGCTGCCACACCTACACCTAAATTGGAGGGACACATAGGGGGACGCATTTTGAAGAACCTCAATTACTGCACAGGGTGAGTAACCGTCTCATCCCAATAAAATTCATTTTATGAATGGACAATGTGCCATTTGGTATGAGGTTCTTTTTGATCTTTTGCCTTTTTATGGATCAGTATTTTTAAGACTTGGAGAGATTCACATTCTTCATGTATAAAGCTCATTCTGTCATTGTTATGACAAAAATGTACTTTTAGAAAAACAAGAACAGTATTTGAACAGAAACCTTTCATGCCAAGTTTCAGTGCAAAACTAATTTGTACAATTTGCTGGACAGAGGTACTTTTGTGGTACTATGAGTGTTGTAGCATGCATTAAACTGATCTGTTTCACAATCAGAACTTTAAAATCATTGATTGCTCTCCTAAACAGAGCTCTCAACTGTACTGTATCATTGTGACGGGGTTCCCGGGGTGCAACCTGAACTGTGGGACCGCTGAGCCCTCTGTCCCACCAACCTGGGGTATCCCTCTCACACTGTGATGCTGTTGACAAGCTACAAACCTCTGGCAGGTACTGCACTTACACAGACATCCACAGGCAGGGACACACCCAACAGAGTTACATGAATGCTTCTCCCAGCCACTCATGAACCAACAATAGAGAGGCTTCAGTCAATTCCCCCCTGCTTCCCAGCCTTGCACCCCCGAACTGTACTGTCTTGCCCTGGTCAGAAACCTGACTAATGTAAGTTCATTACCCAGTCCGCACCTCCCTCAATGTGGACAGGACACGCACTAGCCTTGGTAATGTGAGCTGAGATTTCCCAACCAAAACACACTGTTTTAGGTAAAATATTAAACATATTTATTAACTACAGAAAGATAGATTATAAGTAGGAAGCGTAGAGATCAAAGTTGGTTACCTAAGAAATAAAATAAATTCGCAGTCTAAGTTCTATAAACTAGACAGGACTTGAATCAAGCAGTGTTTCACCCTGATAGATAGTACAAACAGGTCACAGATCTTCAATACGCAGGCTTGGAATTCTCCTCCAGCCCGGAACCCCCTCACCTGTTCAAAGTCTTTGTCCTCCAAGCATGTTTCCAGGTGTTGAGTTGTGGGGGCAGTGAAGCCAAGTCATGATGTGACTCCCCCTCTTTATAATTCCTTCCAGTTTGCTGGAAAGATCTATCCTCATGAGGTGGGGGTCCTCGCCCATTGGTCAAGCATTCTCCATTGTTTATGTGCTCTCTGAGAAATCTCCATTGTATACAGTTCCTGGGATAGTGGATTCTCTTTAATGAGCCATCAGCATGTCAGGCTACTCCATTGTTGTACCTGAAAGGTTGGTTGTGGGTGTTCCCAACCTCACAACATACCTCAGTAACATACACATAGTAAAACTTCATATTCAATAGCACATACAGTCCAACAGATATTAATGTTCAACAAATCAAGACTTTTTAAATGATATCTCACAAGGCATACTTTGTACGAAACATATAATTATATGATGGTGAATATGGGGGTTTCAGGGTGCTGCATTGAGGTACAGAGTGCCACAATCATGCAATACATTTGCAGTGCAGCTGGTTATGGCAGGTTCCCTTCACAAGGGATAGCTGGCGGGTGGAGATGCTTCTGCTGCACCTTTTGGGACCCCTGCTCTTTTCCTCTACACTTCCGTACCTCAAAGAGCAGAGAGCATCCTGGCAAAGAAGAAACAGAGCTGCCTTGAAGCTGAAAGGAGTTTTCAGATAGGGAAGAGGAAAAACCCAATGGCTGGGCCCATACCTTATTCATAGGAGGAGGGAGCAGAAAAAGCACAGTAGCTCCAGGCCAAACCTGCTCCTTTCTTCCCCATGAAGGTGTTGGCCTAGCAGCCACCTCCGTCCTCACCCACTCTATCTGTAAGGGGGGTGGGGGGGCAGGAGGAATAAAACCGGCTGAGTCTTTCTAGCCAGCTCTCCTTTCATCATAGGCAGTTGTGCTACAGGGAAGAGAGTGAAAGGAAAGGTTGAGTGGCAGCCTTCAGTAGCTGTAGCAGCCTTTGGGAGTCTTTGCACCCCAGCAGCAGCAGCAGCCACCATCCTTAAGGGAAGAGGAGGGTCTCACTGCAGGGGAGACCGCATTAATATTGTGTGTACGCATGTGTGTGTAGCATTGATTGGGATTATGGCAGAGATTTGTAGTGGCATAAGGCAGCTGGCTTGAATTGCATGAATTTTATATAGGTGAGGAGGAGCTGCATGAATTTAATTGAGGCATTTTGTACTGACACTGTCCATCCACACCACTCTTCTTGTAGCTCCAAATGGTAAAAACGTGGAACACCTGTGTGGTGTTGGACTAGAAACTAAAGATTGTTTCAGCATAAATTGTCAGTAAGGATGTTTTCTCTAAACCAGTTGTGCAATCTGTTATATGCTGCTCCCCCTGGTCCTAAGTAACCTGTAACACATTGCAAAACTCATGTAATTGTTTCACGCAGTAAGAAGCTATCCTTGAAACCAGATTTTGTACTTGAAAACATTATTTCTTATGGTTTGATGTACATAAACATATAGAGTACTACATTTCAGTTTGTTGCATGTTTTGTTGGTAGTGTAATATTGGCAGGCTTATTAAAGGTTGAGAGGTATGTATCGGATTTGTGGTTTTACATTGCAATATGCTTATAAACTGAAATCTCTGTCCTTTTTAGAACTGCGGGAAGATGGTTTCCAGCCCCAGAACTTCTTAGTCCAAGGAGTGAAGGCTTTACTTAGTGCTTTAAAGTTATGGATGAAAAAAGAAGTAAGTGCAAGTGGATTTGTTTATTTGTTGTTTTAGTGAATTGTTTCTAATTTTAAAACTACATGAAAGTCTGAGTCCTTTTAGAGTGTATTGCCATTTTGTAGATCTTTCATCCATTTGTAAGTATTGGAAAACTTGCTAGAAATTACGGATGGATGGTTTGGGGGAAAGCTGTCTGAGATAGTTTTGTATTGTATGCCACTATCAGTTATTATAGACCAATTACTATATTTAACTCTTGAGATTGCATTTAATCCTGCTTTCTCTTTCCAGTGTATGATAAGAGTTAGATGGCAATCACATGAAGTTTCCCCATGTGAAATTATTATTGCGTGTTGGCAAAATATACTTTGTGTGTCCACTTATATCACTTCTATACTGCAGAGATGATCAGAATTAGGTAGAAATGTATTCTGATTTAGAATTTGCTTTTGTTTGCCTCCACATTTTGCACATATGGTGCACAGTAACTTAGACCTAATAGCCTTTAAAAGCTTATCTACAGAAGTGGCTCCTTGTAGGTGCTCTAAAGGAGATTAAACCATCCAGAAATGAATATGGGGAGACCCTAAATACATTAGTACACTGGGAACCCCTCTGGAAAAAAAGTATTATATTTGTTAGCCCGACCTCTAGCAAAGTTACTCTGTGTGGGGGAGGAAAGATTAATGAGATCTTGTTTTCCCTCCCTTTTCTGAATGATTTGATTTCCCCCCCCACCCCATTTCGTTGAAACAAGGAGCTCTGATGGCCAAATTATTGAGCAGTAAAGGGAGAAGGAAAAACACAGTACCATAAACCAAAGAGATTCTGAAACCACCCCCCTCCTCCCCCAAAGAAAACAGTACTGCTTTTGTGGGGAGATTTGGGGTTCAACACTTTATTCTCCATTCCCCCCTCCCTCCACTATGGTTATTGGTCTGATCTACAGACTTAGCTGAAAGCTCAAGAGGAGACCTCTTTGGCTTCAGGGCCATTCATCCATGCTTCTGTGAAACTAATCACTGCATATCCATCTCCTCTCAGGCTTTTCTTTGAACATTCACAGTAAGCTAAAAACTGGAAGAAGTTTGAATTGCAATTTTGCACAGAAAGCGTGTGTGGTTTTTTGTTGTTTGGGGGGGTTTGAGTGCCCTCTGTGTATTCCCACTTGTGGGATATAGCGGCTTTGGAATTTTTCTAGCGAGCAGTGTCAGTTGGGGCCATTTTCCCCTTCCCTCCCTCGCCCCCCACAAAGGATTCAACGGGTATAAAAGGGAAGGGGAATGGCCACACCCACCCTTCAGTTCCCTTTTAACCACCAAAGGTGTAGTGAGATTGAATCATATGCAATATCATTGATGTATTTCTTATCTGTTTTGTGCTTTTTGGTTCTGCCTTTTGTGGGCTATTGTCTTTTTTGTTAAATTAACAGTACAGGTTTCTTCAGTTTGAAGAATAAAGAAGAAATGCTACCCATCGGGCCCAGGTATTATCTGGATGACCTGCAGGAGTCAGAGTGCTGCCTCACACTCCCTTTCTAACAAGGGAGGCTCTTGAGACTGTCTGGTTGTGATCAAGTTCAACATTGACTTTGAACATCCGCTAGCCTTAAGAGGCTCTGTGTCCAGCGTAAGCAACATCCATCTCCCCAGTCTTATCTGAATGAGCCCAGCACTGAGGTCTCCAGGTCAACCTAATTCATTGCCCGGGTTCTAGAATGGTCAATATTGAGGTTGAGGTCCACGGGTCCCATCGGGTTGAGTGAATTTCATGCTGACACCATTGGTGTGATATCTCCTGAGCTACTAGGAAACAACAATAAATCAGTTAATTAATAAATTTTGACAGCCACTCCTGGAATCTCATTGCCTTAGCACCGGAGGTCTGTGTTCCAATCAGATTAGGTCCTCTTGTGCTGGTACAGCTGGTGCTTTAGTCCTAGAACCTATTCTGTAATGGTGCCAGGAAGACCTTGGACTTTGTCTCCTATGCATAAACTAAGGATAATCTGCTTTGGGCACAGATGCCTCAGCAGTCTTCTCCTATTATTTTAAATTTACCTGTACCTGAGTACTCAGATAGCAACAATGCCCAATGGGAAGGCATTCAACTTCTTAATCTCAGTTGGGAACCCTAGATATATAGTACCAATTCTTCAGAATTGTTAGTGAATAATGTTGTTCTTCAGCCACAGCAAACAAAGATTGCTACCTATAAGGTGACATTTAGGTTATCACCTTTTTCCATGGGACAAATTCCAGCTCTTTATCAGTCCAACTAGCCGCAAATGTCCATGAGATGCTTCCTTTTAAAACTGTGCTTTAAAAAATACCAGAGAACCTTGCTATGCTGACTTCATCTATCTTAGATGTCAGAGTATTTGTGTGTCTCCAAACTTTGGTCCACAGACAGGTTCTTTAACAGTGTAACTGGATGATATCTTTACCCGGGCCACGCATATGGCCTCCAGAAGACTGGAGCCACGATTCATTGATGCTGCTTACTCCTGAGTCACTTATGTCTCAGATCACTGAAGATACAGAAAGTGAAGTAACACGTGCTCATCAGAGAATTCCTTTCTCACATCCCTTACCATTTACAGTAATATTTCCAGATGGTAGACTTGAGACCTTCACCTTGTTATCCAGCCTTTTTAAGGAGTATGGACTCTGGTGGAGGTGAAAGCTCCACATTAAGGTTCTGGAATTGAATGACATTTGTCTAGCATGAAAGTATTCCTCCCTTTAATCAAGATCATAGACTCATCGACCAAAACCACAAATGTCTTCGTTAGGTCTCAGTCTGCTATTATGTATTGTGTAAAGAGTATGACCGGACTAGACTTCTTTGTTACCAAGGAGAATATCCATTATCTCTTGTTCTGCTAGAGCGGTCACTTCAGGGTCAAACAACACCATGTTCCTGACAAACTCCCTTTTTCTTAGATTGGAATTGAGAATTCCTCTGTTCCATTCCATATAGACCTGCCAGAGCATACACACTTAGAACTTAGAGGATTTAGAAGAAATTGAGAGAGGCAGCCAAAAAGAATGAGAGTCTGAAGAAGGTAGAAAAAGATGTTAGGCTGAAACAGGTTATCTCTGCAGCCCTGAAAGATGAAAATGGTGAAAGGACATCGGAAAGGAACAAAATATGTGCAAAATTCAACAATGATCTCTAGTTCTCACATGTCCGTGTCTAGTGTACACCATCAAGGTAGCAGGCTTCAGAAGAAGTTCGCGATGTTATGTGGGAAGAAATCGAATACGCAGTTCGTAACATAAAGAGAGGGAAGGAGCCCAGGAGTGGATGATATTTGGCTGGAATATCTCAAAGCAGGGGAAGATACTCTCTTCAAAGCGTTGGCGCAATGGTTCACCATCTACATCAATAGTAAGTGTGTTCCAGGTGCATGGAAGAAATCAAAAACAATACTATCGATGAAGAAAGGCGATCCAGAAGAATTGAGCAACTACTGTCCAATCACATTCCTCTCACAAGTGTATAATGTCTTCACCCGTGTCATACTCAATTGGATTAAGAGGGATCTTGAAATGCATGAAAGCAGAGAACAAGCTGGTTTCTGCTCAGGGTATTCGACAATTGATCACATCCACTCAGTTTGGCAGCTCATCAAAAAAATGCAAGGAATACAAATTACCATTGTGTCTTGCTTTTGTCAACTACAAAAGGCATTTGACACGGTGGAGATTAATGCTGTACAAAATATGCTCAACAAAATCGGAATCGACCTGAGGTACATTGACCTGCTGGAAAAAATTAACTGCAATTGTTTGACAGAGAACATTATTCAGTGTCCCATGCATTATTATTATACGTAGAGGAGTCAGACAAGATGACACAGTGTCACCGAAGCTGTTTGCAGCAGTACTGGAGTCGCTGTTCAAAAAATTGTACTGGGAAGAAGGAATCGGAATTGATGGAGAACAGTTAACACATTTTCTCTTCACTGACGACTGTAATATTGGCAAAGGACACAGCAGAACTGGAGAACAAATTGCAGCACCTGCAAACACTTTTGCATGATATCGGGTTGGAAATGAACATATGGAAGACTAAGTGGATGCGGAATGAGCATTGTGTAGCAGGAATCATCACTGTAAACAAGAAAGTAATTGAGGAGGTTGACAAATATATTTACCTGGGTCAGCAGATGAACAGAGACAACTCGTTTGAAGGGGAATGCAGTAGGAGAAGACAGGCGGGGTGGCCAAGTTTCAACAAAAGCGGAGGAAGAAAAATTCGCTGTCACCCAGAGATCAGTGGAAAGATGAATGTGTAAGATATCGCTCTGTGATCACATATTGAATGAGGTGATCAGAAGGCGTACAGAGGTGACTGATATAGTGCGGGCGATGTATAACACAAAGTGGAGATGGGCGGTCAGGTAGTCCACAGGCAAGACAATAGGTGAACAACCTGCATCAGTGACTGGATCCCCAGAGACCACAAGCAACTGCTGGGCATACCGAAAATGCGCTGGGCCAATCCCATGACAAAAGTCTTTGGCCAGAAATGGAAAGAACGTGCTCGCAACAAAACAGAATGGTGTGGTGTTGACTTGTGCTCGTGGAGGGACAGACGAGGACAAGCCGGACAAAGGTGATTCCATATAGGTTCTTACTGCACTCATCATTGTTGTATCTGAGTATGTTCCAATAATGTCTTAAGCAAGATGACCAATGTCACATGTTGTTTGTTCTCTTATCCTCTCCGGGGGAGAAGTATATGCAGGGGCCTGTCTTGTTTTGGTAAGGTTTTTTAAAATATACATGTTGGTATGTATATTAGAGAAGGAAAGATCAAAGAAATGTGCCTTGCACTTGGAGTGGAAGGTGGGAAGATGTGCGATGGTCTTTAGTTCCTGGGGGAATTCATTCTGCTTTTTTGGATTGGTCCCTGGGAAAGCTGTCTCCTGCACAGATGAGATTTGCCTTTATTGTGTAGAATTCCATTGCACCAGAGGAGCAAAGTTGTCATCCTCAGTCTTCATCCTGGAGCTTTAGGCGGTCTTTTAGATATCCTGGGCTCAGACCATGGAGTACCTTGAAGATGACGATCAAGACCTTAAATTCAATTTACTGTTCTATGGGAAACCAGTGTAGGGAGCAGAGGTCAGGTTTGACGTGCTCACAGTAGCGTGTATTGCTAAAAAGATGTGCTGAAGCGTTCTAGTTGGAGCTTCCGAAGTGCTGAAGGCTTCATGCTCAGATATGTTGGCATGTTTATTCCATTTGAGAGTTGACAAAGGTGTGAATAACTGAGGCCAGGTCCTCATCCGCCAGGATGGGAAGGGGTCTGCTAGCCAACTGGAGATGATAAAAAGAGCTACTCACGATACTGCTGTGTGAGAGTCTAGTGTCTCCAAGGAATCCAAGAGTAATCCTAAACTACAGATTGAAGTGACCAATTGTGGATGTGTGCCTTCAGTCAAAGGAGACTTCACTGTGGGTATGTACTGTTTAGTATGTTTTCATCTGCCCACCAGCATCCTCCATTTCTTCCTCGGGTTCAGCTTCGGCCAGCTGTTCATCTGTGAGCTCATCTCATCTATGCCCTGGGTCATCTTGATGGTGGTAAGGTGGTTATATGTAGTGAAGGATAGGTAGAGCTGTGTATCATCTGCATATTGCTGGCCCTTGAGTCCATGCGTCTGACCAGTTCACTTAGTGGCTGCATAGAAATGTTGAAAAGGATTGGAGGGTGAAATTGTGGTCATTTTCAATATTAGCTTGACCTGCTGTCTATAGCTGATGCTGGTTTGTTTTTGTTTTTGTTTTGGTAGATTTGCAATCCTTGCTTACCTAGAAGGCCTCAGCCCACTTTTCTAGGGGGGGTGTATTGCTTGCTAAACGCCAAGTGGGAAGATGCAGAGGCCACTCAAAGGCCTGGTCTACACTACGACTTTAATTCGGATTTAGCTGCGTTAATCCGAATTAACCCTTCACCCGTCCACACTACAGAGCCAGTTAATTCGAATTAAAGGGCACTTAAAATCGATTTCTGTACTCCACCTCGACGAGCGGAGTAGCGCCTAAATCGATTTTGTTAATTCGAATTAGGGTTAGTGTGGCCGCACACCACCGAATTACTGTGGTTAAATTAATGGGGTAGTGTGGCCGCACACCACCGAATTAATGTGGTTAAAAACCGAATTAATGTGCTTAGTGTGGACGCGCACAATCGAATTTATACAACCTGTTTCCCAAATTCGAATTATCTAAATTCGGATTAATCCCGTAGTGTAGACATACCCAAAGAAGAAAGAGGTTACTTCCAGTAACTGTTCTTCGAATGTTGCCTCTGCATATTAATACTTACCACCCATCTTTCCCTCTTCTTTGGAGTCTCAGGTCTGGTTCTGCACTTAAGTTTTGCTGACATAGATTTGTTGATTAGGAGTGTGAAACAAATCACACCCTGGCCTGACAAAGCTATGCCAGCAAAAGCTCTAGTGTAGATGCAGTTACACTGGCAAAGAAGTCCGTTTGCTGGCATAGCTTATTTTGTTCAGGGAATTGGTATAAGCTATACCAGCAAATGAACCCTTGCTGGTATAAACTGTCTCCGCTACTAGGGTTTGCTGATTTAACTATACCGGCAAATACTTTCTAGTGTAGACAAGGCCTCAGGTAAATAAATGTGAAATTAGGGAAGGAACTGAAGGGCCGTTGGGGCCACTCCTCTTTTGAATCATCTGGGGGGATAGGGACGGAAGGCGTGAGTAGCCCCAATGTGCATTGCTTGCTCGAAGAACAACAGTTACTGGTAAGTAATCTCACAGCAGTCAATTTAATATTTTCCATAAAATCAATTATAATGATATTAATACAGCTTTAACATTACAGCGATGTATTACATCATCTGTTAAAGGAGAGCCTGCTCTTTCCAACTATCAAAAGAAAACTAGATTCTCAAAAAGGTGCCAGAAATATAAAATCAGTACAGGCTGATGGCTGATTGTTCGATACAGTGTGTTTCATAAGGAAAGAAGGCATTAGTTCTCAACTAGGGTGGTCTCTGATTTCATCCCAGTCGTTCTGTATACTTGTGCTTTTTCCTATATGTGGATCTTTGGAGAAGTTAGGTTATATAGTTTAGATCAGTGGTTCTCAAACTTTTGTATTTGACCCCTTTCACATAGCAAGCCTCTGAATGCGACCCCTCGTATAAATTAAAAACACTTTGTTAGAAATTTAACACCATTATAAATGCTGGAGGCAAAGCGGGGTTTAGGGTGGAGGCTGACAGCTTGCGACCCCTATGTAATAACCTCATGACCTGACCCCCTGAGGGGTCCCAACCCCCAGTTTGAGAACCCCTGGTTTAGATGTTAAGCAAATTCTCAGTTAACTAGCTAGAACTAAGCCTTCATGTACTACTTATACTGACTGAAGATAAATCTATGGGGAAAACCCATCTATGCACATATATTGTCTAAATGGATTAAAGTGAACACACACTATTATGGCCTTGCAGGCTTTTCAATACCATAAGGCCTTGGATCATGCTCTACCAGGTTTAAAATAGGCTCCATCACTGAAATATACAAGGATGCTGCCTGGAGATCAATTCATGCATTTACTCAGCATTGCTTTTGATTTGGCTTTTAGATCTGAGGCCCAATTCAGATTAGTGTTGTGACCTTAATGTAACTGAATTCTCTTCAGACCCCACCTGCTTTTAACATTGTTACTATTAGGAATCTCCCCAAGTAGGGTTCCATACTGACCATACTCAAAGGAGAAAGAGAAGTTTTTTCCAGTAGAAGTAGTCAGTTAAATAAATCGTCAGTATGGCTTCCTGTCCCCACTTCTTTAGATTCTTTGCTAAGGATTCTGAGAAAATGGAAAGAGCTGAGGGATAGTTGATGTTGCACTCCCTTAAATATCCTTGAGACCAAACATGCAGTGCTGCTTTCTAGAGTTCTGACTGGATTCCCCTGCATGTATATTCATTCATACTGTCAATCTACTCTAACTATTACTAGTAAGTACTCTGGCTTAATTTGAATAGATTTTCTTTGGATCTAGGCTTTTCATAGTTTCATCTACTTTATAGTTGTCTACTATATAGACTTGATTTTTATCTTAGTATAACTTATTTTATCTTTTTCCACTCTTCACGTACAGCTTGTAACAGAACATGCCTTTGAAATTCCTGACAATGTTAGGCCTGGGCATCTCATTAAAGAACTCTCTAAAGTGATTCGCTCTGTAGAGGTAAGACTAGAAGACATTACTGAACTGCACACAGGTTACTGTGTTTCTCTTATATCTTTGAATTATTGTAAAAACTGTAATATTTACAAAAAGGGTACTTGATCACTTTGAGCTTATAGCTTTACGGTAGTTGCAACTTTAGGGTCATTGTTTTCTGCAGTGTCACTTATTTATTGTCCTTGCCATTTATTTTTGAAAGTAGAAGGCCAGGTGGAAAATTTTTGGAGGTTGTCTAACTGTCAGTATTTCTGATTAACCAAAAACATAGCAATTTTTAAATTGTATAATCTTTATTCTAAAATTGGAAAACTTAAATCTTTTCAAAAGCAAGTGAAAACTTCTAAGAGTTCTAGTTTTTAAATATTTACCTTTTTTTTTTTTTTTTAGATTATGCTCTTGTAAGGTTATACATTGAGAGCCCTTTCTTAGATCTTAGTATTTTGTCTCCTTTCTTCTCCCCTTGTCTGTCCTTTTTCTTTTGAACATTTTCTGCTCTTTTGTCTAGTGTATCACCATCTTTTCTTTTTCCTTTATTTTTTCTTCTCTGTATTTTGTATTGGGCATATTGTGCACTTTACTACTAAGAGTCCTTCAATGATTAGGATTCCTAGTCTTTGCAATGAGCATAGTCCTGTGATGAGAGCAGTGCTGGAAACTGAGGAGAGTAGTGGTCTGCTGAGTGTAATGGGTATATGCCCTGTACTTCCTTTGTGTAAACAGTGGTTAAGGCAGCAGAGTTGTCATAGCAATTTTTATCAAAAATCACAGAAAAAGTAAATTTAGTAAAAGTCATCGGATTTAGGAGGAAATGGTGTATAAAATCACAGGAATGCTATTTAATGGGGGAGCGCTGCGGGGATGGTTGGGTTGGATCATGGAGACACAGAAAAATCATGGTATCTGAAATTTGTACCACTATTACAAATATGCTGCCCTAACAATTGTATGTGGTGGTGGTGATTATATTGTGGTAGCACCTAAAGGCCCCAATTAGGAGAGGGGTCTCCTGCTAGATGCTGTACAGATCCATCAGAAAACACAGGACCTCCCCAAAAGACCTACACTTTTGTTTCTTTTTATGATTTTTCATTCATTTATGTGAATGGGAAACCCTAATTAAATGTGTGGACTTGTCCCTGACAGACCCCTCTGAAATATTTGTTTTCAATTAAAGGAGGAGAACAGCAAACCAGTTAAAACTCAGGGAATTCTTGGTATGTGCCCAGTTTCCTCACATGAAGCAACCTCTCCTCACCATTCCAGAAGAAAAGTGAGGAAACTGCGAGATCATACGATCAAAGTACCTTCTAATCTGGATATCCTGGAGCTCCACACAAGGGAGGTACTCAAAAGGCTGGAGATGTCCCCATGGGAGGAGGCAAGTATTACATTTCATGGACATAAAAGACAAAAACTAGAATGTATAAAAAGTTTAAGCCATATATTAAGGTGTGAAAAACAGCATAAGAAATTGGATAAAAAATGTATTATAATGCCACTGTATAAATTAGGTAACTCTCACCTAAATTATTGTGAGAGATCTGGCCATCCTATCTCAAAAAGGATATAGGAAAACATAGGAGATTGAGAAGATAAAAATAATTATGGCATAAAGAACTTCTAAAACAGTGAAAATATTGGGGATATTTAGTTCAGACAGGAGAGGCTGAGAGAGTATGTTAGAAGTATGCAAAACAGTGAATGTCAGAGAAAAGTGAACTGGGTGCTCTTATTTGCTGTTTTCTCATAATACAAGATCAAGAGACATTCCATTAAACTGAAAGGCAACAAGTTAAATTTAATTTTTTATACAAAATAATTAACCTGTGAAACTCATTGCCACAAGATGTAATTCAAAAAGAGCCTAGAAGGATTCAAAAATATTTCTCCATTCATATGGATATTGAGGACATAGTTTTTCATCTAATGTAATTGTGTATTTTCTAAAAGGGATGTAAACACTCCTGTTTCAGAGGATAAGCCATTCTTGGAGTTAGGAAGAAAATTCAATTTATGGGCAGGTTACTGGGCATTGTGGGATTTTTCCACTGGCAGAGACTAGCTAGTGGGTGTGATGTTTTGGGGTCCACCCAGACCAGTAAAGGGTTCTGTCATTCCGTGTCGTGTAACTTTGGGGGCCTTTGGGCTGGTTCAGTTCCCTGACACCAGTATGGCCTCAAGCATAAGGTCTCATCCTGGTTCTCACCAGCCTAGTTACTCTTTGCTGAGTGACGCCAACCTTCCAATTCCAGGTCTCCCCAAATACATCTTCCCCAAGTTCTTAGTTACCAGATACTCAGACCATTCCCCTTTGGTGTGTCACACCCAAGGCATGAAGCCAGCCCCTCTCCTCTCCCTCTCCCCCACCCCCCTGTTATTAGCTTACTTTGGCATATACATGCTCCACACCATTTGCACACTAGAGAGCTGCTTGGGGTAAAAATAAACAAAAAGTTTATTTAATAGAAAAAACGCAGATTCAAAGATGAAATAGTAAGGAAAGCAAACATGCAAGTTACATAGAAAATAAACAGAGATGCAAGCTCAGGCTTTACACTTTCATATTCGATAAAATCTTTTTTCTAATGTCTTAAAAGTTTCCCAGCATAGATCCTAGCTACAGGAGGGATCCAGCGTTCATGAACAGTCTCCCACAAAAAGACATTCCTCCAAGTTCTGGATGCTCTTTAGTTCAGACCTCTTGCATTTTAAGAGTTTGCAGGGTTTTTTCCTTTAGTCACTATAGATATTCAAAATGTGGAAATTTTCCTTCTTTCTTAGTTTCCGAAGACTGGGGTTTTCTTTTCGGTTTTAAGCTGTTCTCATTTGCTGTGATGGTTCCTCATTATTTTTTCCTGGACTGGATGATGGCTTGAAGTCAGGCACATCTGTTTGGGGAGGTAGCCCCCCTCTGCCTGATGGGAGGTATTGCTGAAGTTGCACCACAGTTAGTTTCAATTTTCCACATACACCCCCCCCCACCCCTTCATAACCATAATCTGTATACGTAGCTCATAATGACTATTTAGTTCAGTGCATTACAAGCTTTCATAAAAGATCTTACTTGATAAACTCTTATAGTAAAATAGCATAGTATATAATCATTTGGTTTAACTGTTTAGTTTGTTGGGTTTTAAACCTTTTTGTCCTCCCCTTGGAGTGTCTGGACCTAATTGTCACAGTGGGTTAGGTAGTAGTTGCCATACCAGTTGCCCACTTAACCTTTGGTTTGCATCACCATGTTGCTGTTCCTATGATTTGAGAACAAGGATAACTTCTAGAGGGAGCAGTTTTCAACATACTTGTCTGGAAGGATGTTTGTTGGCATATAGCAATGGAGGGTGGTCACAATAAGCAGAAAAAAATCCAAAGGTGAGGGAATGAAATCCAGCAATTTTGTATTGCTTATATCCAAACCTGTTCTATCCAAGCCACTTCAGCCATTGATAGCCAGCTTCAGCTTTCCTCTGCTGGCTATCAGAAATATTCACTATGATCTTTTGGGGAGAAATGCTGCTGTGGATTGCAGAGAAAATTTGTGTAAACTCTTGTCATTTGAGGAAATAATAAACAGTCCTGCTTTTGATTCTTTAGGACATAGCAAACTCTAAACTGAATGGAAGATTTAACAAGCCCTTTCAGCCATCTTCTACAGTACCTGAATGGAGAACAAAGGACAATGATCTACGCCTTCTGCTTTCAAATGGAAGAATCATCAGGTATAAAGTTGCTTATGGATCACTTGTTCCCAGTCATTTTGGATTGGCGCACTCTCATTTTTTGACAGAGTTCTTCCCTTCTACTTCTGGTAGCTTGTGTCTTCCCTCACACTTATCATAAGGCTTCATGCTGAAAGCAGAGTGGAGAAGGGTCCAGTAGCACCTCTGTGCTGCTAGGGAAGCAAAGAGATATTAGGATGCTGGGAGGGAAAGAAAAAAGGAGGTATCTTGCATGTGCATTTAGTTGTATTAAATTCAGTTATTTGATTAAACTTCAAATTGTAAATATTTTTAAATCCACAGATTTGTTAGAAGGATAAAGTAAATACTCTCCAAACAAAAAATTCTCATCAGAAATACCATAGGGTCAAATTTAATATGTTCAGAGTCCAGGTTCCAGGAGGAACATGAATGTACTAATAAATCTTCCCAAAACATGCTGACACAATTATGATACACAAAAAAGGAAGTAAAATGTAGAACCATGTGGCTGTTGCTGCAGAGGGAATGCAGTGGGAAAAAGTTTGGTAAAAGGAGAAGAAAAGGACAGACAGTGTGAGAATGAGAAACTTGCCTCTAAGAGAATATTGCAAATAATAAAGAATGTGAATGACTATTTTATGTAGGACTCTGTAAATAATATACAATTCAGTAAATAACGCTTGTAATATTTTAATTTCTTGTGAGATAGAGATGAGCGACGGCCATTTACAGATCGAAGTCTTTACACGGCAGACAGTGAGGATGAGGATGACAGGACGAGGTCAAAAAAGACAAAGACTATTAAGATGGAAGACCAGAGCTCAGGGTTGGAAGGACAAGGGACTGCAGATGCCCAGAAACCACTGAACAGTAAGCTTGTTTTTGCTGGAACTAAACAACTCCGCATCCTTTTATGACCAGAACAAAGTCCACTTGTACTGTGAACCTTGTCTGTGGAACTTGGTACCAACCAACTGGAATATGGCTTTTCACCAAATGGTTCTTGCTTTAGGTACATTTGGCTAAGTGTGTGATATGTAGGTATGTAGATAATTATGAACCAGAAACTGGTGCCTCCATTGTTTAAGATTTGAGTTGAGCTTTTCACTTAAAGCAGGAATTCAACCTCTTTGTTACATATGGAAAAATACAGGGTTATCCTTGCTAAAATTACAGCACTTACTCTGAGTAAAGAATAAATTTTCTGAAAATTTTCAAGTAAATCTGGTAAATAATTTGAGTAAAAATTAATTTGAAAATGGGTCCTTTAAGAAATTTAGCCCTCAGTGTCAGACTTAATTGAATAATAGACTTTTTGAACTTCCCTTATAGTTAAAACTCACTGAGATTTTGTGCATAGGCTGCAGTTGAAGAATTTAAGGCTTATGGTAATTTTTTGCCATTATTCTTCATAACTGAAGTTTTATGCAGAAAGTAAAGAATAATCTCATGCAGAGAATTCCATGAAGAAACTGCCTTCTTTAAAAGAGCTGCCATCTTCCATTGTTCTCAATGGGGCTAAGGCCACAGTTTGTCCTTAGCAAAGATTGGCCACTATCTCCATTCACTTGTTCCTCAGAATGTTCCCTTCTGCCTCTTGACAACATAAGGAGCCATCATCTTCCATGGGGGCAGATTGGCTTCATTTTCACAGGGGGCCAAGGTGGCAATTTTGAAAGAGGGCAGTTTTGTGAGTTTCTCTGAAGAAGATTTATGCACCAGTTTCTGCTGATAGATAAATTTTCAGTTATAAAAAGTAAAAAAAAAAAAAAAAAAAAAAATCTTCAATATGTTTTCAAAAGCTATCCATTGCACCAGATTTACTCAATGGATAGAGCAGGAGGGAGGGGTCAAGTAGGGTATATGTGGATGTATGTATGCGCATGAAAGTTGTAGATGGTGCAACAGGGAGGGGGAAACTGCGGCAGGTCTGCGCCGGGGAATGTGGAAGACAGGTAGGGAGGGAATAATTTGCGATGTGTGCAGGAGAATATAGAAAGTTGCAACAGGCATGGAGAATCTGAAAGACAGAAGGTATATCCCAATTTCCTTCTCCCTCCTATCTGCTTTGCACTGCTCTGGCAAAACAAAGTAGTGGTAAAACTGGCTGGTGTGCTCTGGCTGCTTATAGGAACTGCCATACTGGATCAGACCTGAAATCTATGTAGTCAAGTATCCTGTCTCCAACAGTGGCTAGCACCGAAAGTTTCCAAGGAAGATGTAAGGACCCCACAGTAGGCAAATGTAGGATATGTCCCCCATGTTAGGTCTCATAATTAAAGATTGCCTTAAGCCCTTAAGCATGAGGTTTAATATCCATTCTAAAATTTGTTCTAGCATTAACGATGATAATTCTGGATATTTTTGTTACCCAAACGTCTGATCCCTTCTTGGCCTCAATGGTTTCCTATGGAAATGCGTTCTATAGTCCAAGTACATGTTGTCAGGGCCCCCGAGAGCTGATTCAGGCCCCAGTGAAATTTTTTTTTCGGGCCCCCCAGCAAGGGCGGACCGGCTAAATAAGGCCTACGGGGGGGGGGGAAGCCGGGCCCCGGACCGCCGGGCCCTGGTAATTTGTATCAGCTTCCCCCCCCTCGTCGGCCCTGCATGTTGTATGATAAAGTATTTCCTTTTATTTGCTACCTTTTAATTTTATCAAATGTCCCCTTGTTCTTGTGTTATGAGACAGGGAGAACAGAAGCTCCTGATCTATCTTCTCTAGACCATTCATTATTTTCATCCCCTTTCTAAGGTGAACAGTCTGAGTCTCTTCATATGAATTTTTCCACGCCCCAAATGTTCTTGCCATCATTCTCTGAATCCCCTTTAATTCTTCAATATCCTTTTAGAAATGGGCTGACTGGTACTACGTTCAGTATTCTGGATGAGGCTGTACCATAGATTTTATATAATGGTATTCTAATTTCCATATTCTCCATCACATTCCTTATCCTAACACTTTCTTTGCTGTTTTTCATGGTAGTTGCACATTAAGCAGAAGTCTTAATTGAGCTGTCTATAGTGATACCCAGGTCCCTTTCCTGAGTTGATAGTTAGAACCTTATAAGGTGTATGTCTCTCCTCCCGCCCCTCCCCACCCCCCCCGTGCATTACTTCACTATTATCAACATAAAAATTCATTTGCCATTTTTGTTGCCCATTCACCTAGCTTGGTAAGGACTGAAATCCTCTTTGGTCTTGACTAACCTAAACTGTGTGTTCATATCTGCAAATCATTAAAAAAATCACATGGCAATAGTCTCCTTGAGATTCTTGTTTAGTTTTCGTGTATGAAACTTTTAATTAGAAACAACAAGGAAATTCCAAGACAAAAACTGTTAAGATGTAGTTCAGATTGAGACTACACATCAGTAATTTGGGGTAAAGGCATCTAGAGAGAGAGGTCTCTCTTAAAAGGAAAGTGGCTTCACTAAATAGCATAACATAAGATTTTATAGATTGTTTTTTGGACATTTGCGGGGACTTTTGAAACCAGATGTTGAAAACTAAATACATGTGATTATTGTTTTTGAAGGTGAATGTGAAATGATAGATTTAAGAACTAATTTTGTCCTTTATTTCCAGTGTTCTTTGAAAGTGTGAAATCAGAACTCAGGAATGGATCCTCAGAGTACTCTGATATTTCTGATTCAGAAGAATCTGAGCCTGATTGCACTACTCAGGTAAATGCTAGAGAAGGAAACAGGAGTTGGTCAAATGAAAATCAAAATAGTATTTTATTTATATTCATGTATTTAAATCTCTGGGTATATGTACAAAACAATTTTAAAAATCCATTCATGCACAAATTGGGCCAATATCTAAAACTAAAAACTATCGCAAATTTGCTCCTGTACCTAAATCTCTCACTCACTCCAATACTGGAATGTCACTGGCACTGTCACGATTTCTTGAGTGAGGATCTTTGAGAGTTGGATCACAAAGGGGATTGTGTAGGATAATAGGGAAACCAAAGTGTATACGCCATGAGCTCTAGTGAGGAAGGTATGTAACAGCCTCATTCACATCCCATTCCAGATATTGATCTTGCAGGGAAAGTGTTGTGTGATTTGGGGCAGGTGGCTTGTTATCCCATCCTGGTAAAAAGGAGATGGAGGTGACTGTAGGGAGAATCTGGAATATGTTCCGAGCAGTCCTGAGGAAGGAAGTGCAGAACAAGCTAAGCCTGCGGAAAAGGCTTAAGTTTAGCTGCTTTAATTTCTTTGATGATAAAGCCAAAGCTCAAGAATGGGGATATGAGTTTTGACTATACACTTTTTTAAAAACAGGTTGGGAAAGTACCTTCTCTCACGCCCTCAATTGCTTTTGTAAGCATAGTGCTCCTCTGTAGAGACTCTTCTGTAATACACATGCTGTTTTGATAAGTCTTGCTTGTGCTCAGCACAAGTCGAAACATATGTAAATGGTAGATGCAAATATAGCAAGGCAGTCATTGTGAAAGTTCTGCCAGGAGTCACTGGGAAGCTGCGGCCTCAGTCCTCCTTTTGCAGTCAGCCAAGCATGAAACTGATTTAGAATTACAGAAGAATTTTTGAATTTCAGTAATGTGCTTTTGGACTGTTAAGTGTTACTACTTTTTCAATGAAGGTTAAGTTGTGTATTGAATACTTACGACCTTCAGAAGTTCTGTCATCTTTATCTCACTTTCATTGTCTGAGTAGGGGGTAGAGACCTTCTTGTCATGCTTCTGTTTGCATTCATGGATGGCATCTGCAGCAATTCAACTCAATATTTTATTGGTTATTTTTTCAGCTGTAGAATCAGTAGCATTACGTAGCAATGAGGTTTCCCCTTGGATATATGTAGGAATTATTTTTGCATTGATGTTGATGATGATTTTTTTAGCTCCACCTGTATTTTTTTTTTCTCTTCATTTACAACATATAATAGTGTTTTTGGCATGTTTAAATTAGAGCTGTCCATTAATCGCAGTTAACTCTCACGATTAACTAAAAAAAAATTAATTACGAGTAATTGCAGTTTTAATCGCACTGTTAAACAATAGAATACCAATTGAAATTTATTAAATATTTTGGATGTTTTTCTTCATTTTCATATATATTGTATTCTGTGTGGTAATTGAAATAAAAGTGTATATTATTTTTATTACAAATATTTGCACTGTAAAAATGATAAAAGAAATAGTATTTTTCAATTAATCTCATACAAGTACTGTAGTGCAATCTTTGTCGTGAAAGTGCAACTTTCAAATGTAGATTTTTTTTTTTTGGTTACATAACTGCACTCAAAAACAAAATAAAACTTCAGAGCCTACAAGTCCACTCAGTCCTACTTCTTGTTCAGCCAACCACTAAGACAAACAAGTTTGTTTACATTTTTGGGAGTTAATGCTGCCCTCTTCTTATTTATGGTGTCACCAGAAAGTGACAACAGACATTTGCATGGCATTGCAAGATATTTACGTGCCAGATATGCTAAACATTTGTATGCCCCTTCATGCTTTGGCCACCATTTCAGAGGACGTACTTCCATGCTGATTACACTCATTTAAAAAAATAATGCATTAATTAAATTCGTGACTGAACTCCTTGGGGGAGCATTGTATGTCCCCTGCTCTGTTTTATCTGCATTCTGCATATATTTCATGTTATAGTAGTCTCGGATAATGACCCAGCGCATGTTCATTTTAAGAACACTTTCACTGAAGATTTGACAAAACACAAAGAAGGTACCAATGTGAGATTTCTAAAGATAGCTACCAGGGGCGGCTCTATGTATTTTGCCGCCCCAAGCATAGCAGTGAGGCAGCCTTCGGCGGCATGCCTGCGGGAGGTCCGCCAGTCCTGTGCCTTCGGCGTACCCGCTGCAGAATTGCCGCCGAAACCATAGGACCAACAGACCTGATTGCTGCCCTCACAGCGACCGGCAGGCTGCCCCCCGCAGCTTGCCGCCCCAGGCACGCACTCGGTGCGCTGGTGCCTGGAGCTGCCTCTGATAGCTACAACACTCGACCCAAGGTTTAAGAATCTGAAGTGCCTTCCAAAATCTGAGAGGGACAAGGTGTGGAGCATGCTTTCAGAAGTCTTAAAGAGCAACACTGTGATGCAGAAACAACAGAACCCAAACCACCAAAAAAGAAAATCAACCTTCTGCTGGTGGCAACTGACTCAGATAATGAAAATGAAACATGCATCAGTCCGCACTGCTTTGGATTGTTATCAAGCAGAACTCGTGAGCAGCATGGACGCATGTCCCCTGGAATGGTGGTTGAAGCATGAAGGGACATATGAATCTTTAGCACATCTGGCACATCAATATCTTGCGACGCTGGCTACATCAGTGCCAGGAGAACGCCTGTTCTCACTTTCCGGTGACATTGTAAACAAGAAGTGGGCAGCATTATCTCCTGCAAATGTAAACAAACTTGTTTGTCTGAGTGATTGGCTGAACAAGAAGTAAGACTGAGTGGACTTGCAGGGTCTAAAATTTTACATTGTTTTATTTTTGGAATGCAGTTTTTTTTGTACATAATTCTACATTTGTAACTTCAACTTTCATGATAGAGATTGCACTACTGTACTTGTATTAGGTGAATTGAAAAATACTATTTATAGTGAAAATACTTGTGTTCAAAAATAAATAAATATAAAATGAACACTGTACACTTTGTATTCTGTGTTGTAATTGAAATCAATATATTTGAAAATGTAGAAAACGTCCAAAAATAGTTAAATAAATGGTATTCTATTGTTTAACAGTGCGATTAATCGCGATTAATTTTTTTAATCGCTTGACAGCCCTAGTTTAAATCTGTGTTTATAGGGGGGCTATATCCAGGGTGAAGTATTTCAGTTGCCATCAAAGAATGTAACAGCTTTCTTCTTCAAAGAAGTAGTGGGTGCTCCACTGTAGGTGTACTTGTGTCCCTGCGTTGTTGATCAGAAAACTTTTGATAGCAGTGTCCGTTCGGCTTGCACATGCACCGTCCCCTCCTCATGCCCCACCAAAAGGCTAACCAGTGCGCACAGGAGAGCCCCCTCAGTTTCTTCTCAACTGCCGCTGGCTAGAGACGGAGCCATTAGCGGTCCGTTTGAGGATCATTTTCTCTTTCCTTCAGCATTTCAATAGCTAGTTAATCCCCTTTTTCTCTTAGTTGTAGATTTTCTTTATTTTCTCTCCTTCCTCTTTCCCCCCCCAAAAGAAAAGACTTTTAGTTCCCCTTTGTCTAGGGCCCTTTTTCCTCCAGCGCGGGATATGCCCGGCTCACTTGGTTTCAATAAGTGCTTCTTGTGTAAAGAAGCCATCCCTCTAGCAGCTAAACATTCTCACTGTATCCACTGCTTCAGAGAAGAACACATTTCTGAGAAGTGTGTTCTCTGCCAACAAGTCAAGCCCAGGTCTCGGAAGGACAAGGAGCTGAGACAAAAACTTATCCTGATGGAGGCAGCTCTTCAGCCTCCGCTGGACCCATGCCAGGAGTCACCCAGATGGCACAAATCTTCCCCATAGCCCTGGATATTTAGGGACTATGGGTCAAAGAAAACAGCCGCAGACCCCTCACGTAAGACTTGTAAAAAGAGAGCCCCGAGCCAGCCAAAAAAGATTGCTGTCATGCTCAATATCGTCGGCACCGAGACAGTCCAAACACGGTACCCATAGCTCATGAAGGTCAGAAGCGACAGGTACTGTTGATGCGTCTAAAGGCCTGATGGGCATAGGCACTGAGCCAACGGTCCGGTAGATAAGGACAAAGACAGAGACCATCCACCACTAAGAAGATGCTGCCAGTACGAGCAGCACCATCGGCACTGTCAACAGTGAGCCACCTAGCCTCGGAGCACTCGACATGGCCAAAATCCCCTATTCCCTGCAGACCAACTCACCAACAACTGCCATTGGCACTGGTTTGGTTAGCACCACAAGAGTTCTGGCACTCAAGAACTCTAGTATCCGATATACTAGAGTCTCCCTTGATCGGTGCTGGGGCTCCGGTACAGAGTCTTCTCCGGACATGGGAATCTTCACCGACAGCGTGTCATGCACCTCTACTCTCTAGTGGTGACTCAGATACTGAGCTGGAGGAGGTCGTCTCTGACCACTCCTTATACTCTCCTTATGGTGCCCGATATCAACCTGGGGCTCCCCAGTAGTCTCCTCCTCTTGCTCCTCAGCCACCATGATATGGTCAGCCATGGGCACCACCACCAGGCACTATCACACTGCCCTAGCGGCCCTACTGGGATCCATCGGCAGCATATAGACTTCACATCTCCCAGGCATCCAGCATGTAACTCACTGTGAGCCCTTGAGACTCTCCCCCTCAACCATGACATTCAGAACCACCGAACATCCGGAGGAGATCATAGAAGAACCAGAGGGCAGATTCAAGGAGGAAATCATGTCAAGGACAAATATCTATTCCTCCCTAGACAAGGCAGGGATGGCCTCTCCACCATCCTTAGCTGATGATTACAGGCTATTTCAGGATTTGGCTAAAAGGGTAGCAGACACACTGCAGATACCTCTAGAGGAGGTAAAAAGATATCCAGGAGCTTATGATGGGTATCTTGCACTCCTGCTCCTCCTCCAGTATAGTCCTCCCAATCAACAAGGCCCTTCTGGATCCAGCCAAGACTATTTGGCAAACGCCTGGCATCGGTCATGTAAATGGGCCAATAAAAAAAATACTACATCCCGGCTAGGGATACAGAGTTGTTTTTTCTCATCCTCCCCCAGTTCAATTGTTGTGGATGCTGTAAACTCCCAGAGTCACCAATACAAAGTGAGATCCACCTCTTATGATAGAGATTGGAAATGCTTTGACCTCTTCGGGGGGAAAGGCCTATTCCTCTGCCACATTGCAATTTAGAATTGCAAACTCTCAAGCTTTAACAGCAAACTTATTTATCAGCTCCCAGTCACAGCATGATCAGTTCCAGGCCATTGTCAATGAATAGCAACTAGTAGCCAAAACAGTGCTCCAGTCAGTGTTTGATGCAGCCGACACAGCAGCTTGGTCCGCTCCTCTGCAGTGGTTATGCGGCAAGCGTCCTGGTTGCACCTATTTGGCTTCCCTAAGGATGTGCAGACTAGTGTAGAAGACCTTTCCTTTGAAGGCACAAATTGTTCGAGAAGGGATTTATGCTCCTGGACAAAAGAAAAGTTTAGTTCACAATCTCAACATAAATTACCGCACTTCGCATTATCCAGCCCAATGTTTCTATGAGCCTCAGAGAAAGAAATCCAGGTTTTCTAAACATAAACCATCAGATCCACAGCTTTCTGTGTCGCAACCATTTTCCTCAAAACATCAATTTTGACATGTTGGTTGAGGCATCGACAGATCGTTCCTCCCACACACCCCAACACCAACTGCAGCTGACCAACCCATTGCCCCCATTTGGTTACCGCCTTGCCTCCTTCCACAACATCTGGGAATGTATAATATCCGATGGGTTTGGGTCCTGGAAATCCATCCACAATGGGTACTCCATCCATTTCAAACCCCTCCCCCCCGCCAACACCCTTCCCCGTCCCTCTTCAGGGACTCTTCTCACGAGAGTGTATTACGACAAGAAATAGATCTTCACCTCATCCTCCTAGGAGCCATAGAACTAGTACCTCAACATCTGCGAGGCAAAGGTTTTTGCTCTCATTATTTCCTGATACCCAAGAAGAAGGGAAGTTGGAGACCCATACTGGACTTCAGAGCTCTGAACAAATTTGTCAGCTCAAAAATTCAGGATGGTCACACTATCAGCGATTATTCTATCTCTGGAACAGGTAGATTGGTTTTCGGCCTTTGGCCTACAGGATGCTTATTTCCACATATTGATCCTACCTTCCTACAGACAATTACTCAGATTTTCCTTGGGCCAGGACCATTACCCATACAGAGTACTTCCCTTTGGCCTCTCATTGGCTCTGAGAGTATTCCCCTAGGTACTCTCTGTAGTGGTGGCTCTCCTATGCTCCCAGGAGATCATGATCTACCCCTACTTAAACGATTGTCTCCTCAGAGCCTGCTTCTTCAGTGAGGCCTGCCAGGTCACTCAAACCGCAGTAGACTTGTTCATGGAACTGGGACTACAGATCAACTTCCAAAAGTCAACCTTCGTCCCTGTAGAGTGCCTGGAGTTCATAGGGGCCGACCTCAACTCATTACAGGTGAAGGTGCTCCTGCCTCAGCACAGGTTCGACACCTTGACTACACTCTCATAGAGACAATATAAAACAACCCTCAAATATCATCCAGGCACTACCTCCAGCTTCTGGGGCATATGGCGGCAGGCACATCTGTGGTATCTCATGCCAGACTTCACATGCGGTGCCTCCGAATGTGGTTCAGCTCGGTCTACAGACCAAACAGAGAGATTACACAAACCTGTCATTACCCATCAAGGTCAAATACTCTCTGGACGGGGGAAAAAATCCAGGAGATGTCTTCACAAGGATCCCTTTTTTTGCAAACTTCTCCATCATTACTTCTTACCACCAATGCATCCCTCATAGGATGGGGCACACCTCTAAATGACCTTATGATGCAGGGTAAACGGTCATACACGGAGATGTCTTCACATCAACCTCCTAGAACTCAGGGTAGTCAACAGTGCCTGCACCCATTTCCTCCACAAATCAAGGGAATACACACAAATATCCTAATAGACAACATAGTATGTATGTGCTACATAAATCGACAGGGAGGCACCAGATTACCCTCCCTTTGTTATGGAAGTTATGGAACTCTGGTGCATTTCCTACAATGTCACTTTCTCAGCAGCCTACTTTCCAGGAGTACAAAACTTGATAGTGGCCAGTCTCCCCTCTACTTTGGAGTTCTTGTTAAGGACTCTGCAGTAGGGAAGGAACCGAGTGGGGTTTGCCAGCATGCACTGGTTAGCCTCGTGCTGGGGGGAAGGGCACGAGGAGGGAACAGAGCATGTGTGAGCTGAATGGACACTGCTATCAAAGTGTTCTGATCAGCAGCGCAGGGACACAAGGACACCTACAGTGGAGCACTCAGAGAGAGACATCTCAAAGAGCCATCGTTACTGCATAAGGCAAGTAACTTCCTCTTGTTAAAGTTAGTTGCTGGCCTTTCAGTTGTTATAGCATAATCGCTGATCTGTCACTTTTTGGGAGGCAAAGATTAACAGACTTCTCCTGTAAATGAAGCTGATATTGAAAGGACTGTATGTATGTTCTTTGTTTGTACAGTGCCTAGAACAATGGGATCTTAGTCCATGGCTGGGGTTCTGAGGCACTACAGTAATACATTTATTTAATAATAAAAAGCTGCTGAAAGGCATGGAACAGAGACCTAAATTATAATTCCAGTTATGTTTTGAGAAAGATAGTGGCATCTAAAATCTCATCATTTGCCTTTTCACAGATTTGAAATTAGAGCCTAAAGTTTTATAGTACCAAAAAAAGTGTTCATGTAAATACTTCAGAATTTCAAAAAATTTAAATTCCCTCCCACAGTAACCTCCGCTGAGTTATTTTTGTTTAAAAAAGACAACCCAGTCCCAGATTTTTCACAGCTTTGATTTCTGTTCTGTTGATAAAGATATTCTTCCACTTCATCAACACATCAGTTTGTTAGGGTAATTAACATATAGAAATCTGAGATTTATATTGCTTTAGTAATCTTTTGTTCTATACTCAATAAGCAATATATAAATTCAACAGCATACATCCAGAGTATATTTCCATTACAGAACCAAAAAAGGGGCATAATTAAGATTGGGTGGGCACTGTAAGCCAGCTGAGATGAATAATGAATGATGGAACATCTGACATGCAAACTGGATGTATTCTTTAATTGTCTATTTTCAAATTTTAATTTTTGAAGATAAAGTGTAGAGTTTTTGTAAGACAAGGTAGGTTTTTGGAGGTGTTAGCTGTAAATCTCTGAAACACACTTTCAACCTTTTTGACCAAATTTGATAAAATCGGATATATTAGACCTGTATGTGTGTTCAGTGTTATGGCATTCTTTGCACTATTAGCTATTTCTGAGAAACTAATTAACTGGAAGATGGAGAACCTTTAAGTGTAGATTAGAATAGCAATTAGAGCTTTAGAATTGATGATCATCTCATGTACTATTTGCTCTTGTTCTAGCTAAATAATTCCTCTACAGAGGAGTCAGAAAGCTCAGGTGATGAAGAGAAACAGGAGGTAACATCAAATTTCAAGGAGGAAACTAAGATGATAAGGGACCTCTGTCAAACTACCCAGAAGCCATCTAAAAATGAAACTCCAAGTAAAGGGTGAGATAAATGATGTGGGAGGTCTGGTTTATAAATTGATAAGAACTTCCAGACAAACAAATTTGTAAGCCTTTGTTTAATATGAATATAAAAATTATTTCCTTCAGTGAAATTAAAATTCCCTTATGTACTGTCTGATCTGTTTTTCTAGGGAATGTCCTACCTCGACAAGTACAGAAGAAGAAGCTATTCATGGCATGCTTTCTATGGCAGGATTGCACTATACCACATGTTTACCAGGTCATACACAAAGCACAGACTGCACAGATAAAAGAACCTCTCATCAGGAACACAGAAGTTACCCCAGAAGTAAGCATAAGGACAGGCAGCCATCCCAGAGTCATAAAACAGAATGTGGTAGGTACTTACATTAACTATCATTGCCACACTATGTTACACTAGGGCTAAGATTTTCAAAAATAAGTGCCTAAAATTAGGTTCCTAGTTCCATAGTGAAGTTCCTAAATAAGTCTGGCATACTTTCCAGAAGTCAGTGAGATAAAAGTGTGCTCAACACTTCTGTAAACCAGGCCAAATCTATTTAGGAGCCTAACTTTAATGAGGCCTTAGCTGTCAACCCAAAATTTTCTTCAGCACCTTTTGGCTTTACAGGAGTTACACCGGTACGGATGGATGAACTGAAAGCTGTAATTCCCTCCAGGGGAAAAAGCTGAAAGCAGTAGTTCATAAGATCTCCCTAACTGTTGCTTTCATGGTATATGCCTCACTAGATAAACCTTAGATTCTCAGTCTGCTTGATGGCTTCTAATACTGTCTCTCTAAAAAGCACATATGGATTTGTTCCTGGAATGCAGATGTAAAGGCTAGACAGTTAATGGCTGCAGCCTTATTCTCATAGGGAGATCAGTTTGGTAAACCTTAGAAAATGCTATAGCTGAAAAGCAGCTGATAAAGGAAACTTTTACCTTTGGTGAAATGAAAAAGGAAAAATCACAGTCTATTACAGGAACGGGGAAATCATTTTGTAGTCCACAATATTCAGATACCTACAAAAATAGTTTGGAAAAGGAGAAAGTCCTGCAGAGTTGGAATAGAAGATCTATTCAGAGAAAAATACTCTATCCAAGCTTATCTCCATACACACAAGCACAGTGTGACTAGATGTGGCCTCTGCAAGGGTGTAGCTCATCGGGTGACACCAAAAGTTTTATCTATAGAAATGAACTATGCTGGAGAAATGAGTCCTAGACATAATATAGAAAGGGATATATAATAGAATTGAAGAGGGTCCCAAAGATACAGAATAGCATCAGAAGTTTAAAAACAAAGCAATAATGTAAGCAATAATAGAGGCATGCAATTCAGCAGAGCTAGGAACTGGAGATTTCTCAATACCGCATCTGACGAAGTGAGTATTCACCCACAAAAGCTTATGCTCCAATACGTCTGTTAGTCTATAAGGTGCCACAGGACTCTGTCGCTCAATACTTTTTGTGGCCCATCAGTGCGTCTAGGTAGGTGGGGAGGAATCTGTGCTGATACTGGACCAAGGTACCAAGAAAATTTAAATTACACGGAGACTTTTTGTAGTCTCTCTAGTATCAGCAAATTCTCTCAACATCAATAGACCTAAAAGAAACACATGCCTATTCCAAACCTCCACATGAAATTCCTCCATTTTTCTCATAACAATTTGTATTTCCAATACAAATTCTTATGGTTAAGATTATTGACCTGTCCCATAATCTTCACAGATGTCTTAGTGGTCCAATAGCAGCTCTTTGAGAGAAGAGAATCCATACCATTCTTTCTTAAATTGTTTATCAGGGCTTAGAAGACTAAGTCAGACAGTACAATAACACTACAATTCAGTTCTTTCAAGTATGACTTCCTGATAAACCACAAAAAACATCCGCAGCCAGCAAGATCATGACTCACCTAGGTGTCCAGATAGTTACAAAGAGAGATCATTTATTGTGTAGGTGAAGCAATCAAAGATTACGGCTATACTTAGACTGTTTCAGCAGAAACCAGAAGTCACAATTGTCACCTTGTGAGATTCCTTGGGATGCTTGGATCTTGCGTTGATTCTTATCTGGACAAGTTAACATAGAGCTGCTACAGACCTTTACACTGTCCATTCTTTGGACATCAGCCAGTCTGGGAAAAAGTAGATAGTTCCAAAATACCAGCTTATCACTCAGGAAGAACCAAACACTACTTACCATAGACAAAATTCTGGGAGCCTGCATTAGTAAAAATGGTTCAGGGGTTATACTTTCAGGAGATGTCAAAAAACTGACTAGAGTTCAGGCCATTTTGACTAGGTCTGTAAGAGTTTTAGGAAGAGGTGTCTTAAACATATTCTGGGAATGACAGATGCCACCACTGTAATAACATGCATCATTTCCCAAGGAAGAAAGAAATTCAATTGCCCTTTATCTAAAAAGCAGTCCACCATCTGTCATGGGAAAAGAGAAAATTTGTTCTTGAAAACTCGTCACATGAAAGGGAAAAGAGAGATCAGCACTGCCTGGCTATGATACAAGAATTAGACCAAGTGGAATGAAGTCTCAGCCAAAGACTTGTTACCATGATGATTCACCAATTCAGAGTCAAATCACCGATTCTTCTTTGAGTGGTCTCTGCATAGTCCCACATTTGGGATACAGCAGCCATGTGGAGCTCAGAAGGTGGAACGTAACTAGCATTGCCCATCTCATGCACCCCTCTTTGCTTGGCTCTTACCTGTTCATGAGCATTCTAGGGTGTGTCTGTAAAAGGAGGCATAGTACTCCAATTACCTCTGCTCCTTCCACCTGCCAGAGATGACAGACGAAGAACAGCTCTGGAGAAAATAATCCCAGATGTCTTAAACAGTGCTTTAGTTGTTAATTAGTTTCTTAGGTAGCCTATTTTTATTGAAGTTAAGGTTTTTAGTCCTCTCAGAAATTGACCCAGCAGTCTCCTCCTTTTCTACCCATCTCCCATTTAACCAAAGTTACACACAATATCTAAGTGAAAAAGGCTTTAATTACCTTAAAAAAACTGTACTGACCAAAAAGGCTGTGATTCTCCAGCCTGATGTAGGTTAAGTTCTTCTATTCTGCTCCCAGCCCACCTTGGTTTTCTCAGCTAAGCCCTATCCCCCATCGAAACCTTACTGAATTGCTGTCCTGGGACGCTCTTGGGCATGAGGTTTACAAATCAGCATTGTTGTCAGCTTTCATTTTCCTTCATATGGGCATTTAGATTGTAACATTGTAGAGTCTATTTTGTGTCTTGCAGTCATAGAATCATAGAAATATAGGGCTGGAAGGGATCTTGAGAAGTCAAGTCCAGCCTCCTGTGCTGTGACAGGGCAAATTAAAGTAAGCCACCATCCCTGAGATGGGTTTGTCCAACCTGTTTTTAAAAATCTCCAGTGATGGGAATTCCACAACCTCCCTTAGAAGCCTATTCCAGAGCTTAACTACTCTTTTATAGTTAGAAAGTTTTTCCTAATATTTAACCTAAATCTCTCTTACTGCAGATTAAGCCTGTTACTACTTGTCCTACTTTCAGTGGACATGAAGAACAATTGATCACTGTCCTTTTTATAACAGCCCTTAACATGTTTGAAGGTTACTAGGTCCCCCATAGTCGTCTTTTCTTAGGTTAAAAGCAGGGCGTTTTTAGTCTTTTCATAAGTCAAGTTTTCTAAACTTCATCATTTTTGTTGCTCTCCTGTGGACTCTCTCTCTCCAGTTTGTCCCCATTTTTCCTGAAGTGTGGCACCCAGAATTGGGCACAGTACTCCAACTGAGACTATCCAGCCAAAGCATACCAGCACTTTAAAAACAAACAAACAAAAAATAGTGGTGAATGTGAGTTGCAGAAGGCTTGCACCTTTTGTGGACTGTCTTACAAGGATGCAGAAAAGTCAAGAAACAGATATTAAGGAAGCATCCACCAGGCATATTTTGATGGTACTTAGACAGTACTATGGCAATGAGGGCAGCTGTTTTCAGCATCAGTACTTTCAGATCCACATGGCCGTATTTATCAGACTTTCATATTGAGGGTCAGCAGAAATTTGGGCAATTTGATGTGCCAAATAGGTATGGAGGGGAAGTGAGAAATCTGACATTTCTGATGTGTGAGATCTGTGGTAACAGACCCTTGTATTATGAGAATAGTTTGTCTAAGATCTTTCACAATACTTTTTCTATTTCATCTCAATTGTAGGTTTCAAGTTTTTCAGTCACAATTAAGCATTTCAGAGTTTCAACTTGCTAAATTTCTTTTTAGGTAAGCACACGAGGGAAGAGGAAAGAAGCGTGGGGACTTCAATATGGGCAAGACAGCTAAATGCAGCTTCCAGGGTTACCCCTCAGGTAAGACAACATTTTAACCCTTGTTATAGAACAAGGAGTATGCAGCTGTCAACAAAAAACAAAACCAGTAAACTTGATGAGGGTATCTCCCTACTGCCTGTCTGGTAACTAAATAACTTTGGAGCTGGTAACTGATGACTATCTGTATCCTATTTTATCTGAGCTGTTCTGCCTCTTTGGATGTTTTAGGAAACCTAAGTATATTATAAAATTACTATAAAGACACTAGGTATCTTAAGAAAAAAGGTGAATTTACTGTTCACGAAAGGTTCCAGATTGATGATCCACAGACATGGAGTCTTACTTCAGACAGAGTAAGTTCTAGCTTTCCCATATTGCCCAGTCAAACTTTATTTGGACACTTCACCACCTCTTTCTTTACCCTCTAGTCATACTGCCATACAAGGCTGTCAATTGTGTGGTGGTTTTTGAGATGTGGACACTTGCCCATTAGAAACTGGACTAAGGCAGCTCAACTCATTTCACATAGGCCACCAGACAGTCAGTAGTTGGCGTCATCTTTGAGTTCTTAATCTGGGCTGGATTCCAGTCAGAGGCCAGAAGATGAACGACTCTAAATCCTGTTACCAATTCCTCCGAGCCTCCCAGTTTTTCCTGGTATCTTAAATGCTGTCCATTTTACCTCTATAGCTTGTGTTCACTAGAAATGTTAGTAATACCTCAAGTTACAGGATCCTGATACTATTTAGTAACTATATTTTAATTGCTTGGTAATTTAGTATTCTACAGGAATATGTAATTACATGGTAAGGCTTATGGTTTTATACTTCCTAATTTAGAACTGTCTGTGTCTCAACTACTGAATATTCAAGACAAAGTGCCAATTTAAATATTCACTGATTGTGATATTGTTCCTTGTAGTTAGGAACTGTCTGTGAAATCAAGGACGTGTTCACACTTTGGTCCCTGCAAAATAATGAAAGTGGAAAAAGTGGGTTATATATTTTTGTGTGTTCCTTACTTCCCTGTATCTGTATTAGCAACAGTTAAACAGTGTACCACAATTTTAGTGACTTTCATAACTGCATGTGAAAAAAGTTACACAGAAATATCATGTTGTTATAACTTAAGTTTTTGAACGAGCATATACTGTAGAGAAAAGGACAGGATGCTAAAACAGACCAGCTTTATTCCTATTAGAATTGTATCTTCATTCAGAAATATTTAATTTGTCCAGCAGTACAATGAGAAGAATTAAAAGGGGTTTGCATTCAGAAATTATAAGTCCTCATGTGTGATTGATTTCCCCCCTCTCCCCCCTTCTGCTCCAGGATACAAGTAAAGCTCAGAAATATATTAAGAAGGAGGGTGCATCAGAAGCTAGTCATAAGGTTCAGGAGAATAGAAATTTTACACACAGCAATGGCTTGAGCTTCCAACATGGCAAGTGCACGCGGGACTCGACCCTGATCCAAGGGGAGTGTCGGTTGAGTGACGGCAGCCTCAGCCCTGATAGGCCATATGGTGAGACATCCTTGTCCATACCCCTTCACCCAACCAAGAGGCCAGCGTCAAATCCACCCCCTATCAGCAACCAGGCCACAAAAGGTAACATTGTCTTCTTCTGTCCTTTTTCCCTCCAGAAAACCTGGTTTCCTATTTTTGATTATCTAGAAGCTTAAGAAAAACTTGTCTGAAACATAAGCAGCAAAAAGTGAAGACCTAGACTTTGACAAAAACCCAACATAAGCATCACCTTGCAGTCAAATTTCGGCATGGGGTAGTTGTATAGTGGAAAAAGAGGGATTTAATGGGGTTATGCCCAATTTGAGCATTCCCTAGTTAGTGCTGACAACTTCTGCAAATTTATCAGCTATGAAGTAATGATATCTAGTTTAGATTAAGCATCTGGGCTTTTTTCTTCTTTCTGAGATGAGATTCTCAAAGTATGAGGCTTTAAAGGTGATGGTCTTAACTAGTTATCTCCTTAGCTGTGTAATTTAGTTGAGTACAAATCTGAGGGAAGGGCACAATTCAGAGAGCAGAGATTAGTGGGTTTTCCTATTTAAATTAGGAAAATCTGGAAGTATATAATCAAATTCTCTATTACAATGCTGACTGTAGCTTAGGAAAAGTAACTCTGAATTTCATGTGTCCATTATGCCCACTGCTTTGGTCCAAAACAATTGGACAGAGATGAACTGCGATGTAGAAAAGTCAGACTGCAGGAGAGAATCTGCTTTCCATTTAGGTTTATCTGTTTTACAAAATCGGTTCTAAAAATAGACTGATATACTGGTTTCAATTTTCCAGGCAAGCGTCCAAAGAAAGGAATGGCAACTGCCAAACAGCGCCTTGGGAAGATCCTTAAGCTGAACCGAAATGGCCATGCACGCTTCTTTGTTTGATGTAGCTGCTGCTGCTGTCTTTCCTTCACAGCCAGTATTGAGGGCAGCAGAGCCTGGAGCTTCTGCTGTTCCTCTGCCCGAAGCAGACTTGCATGTACCATGTAGAACACTGCCTAATGAACAAAAAAACCAATGCTGCATTTTCACTGTGCCACACCCGCTCAGCAATAACCATTTGGGAATGGGGAAATCTTCAGAGAGACAGTGGACTGGGAAACAGTCTCTCATCAGGGCTTGAATATCACTTTGTTGCTGGTAGTGTCTGAGCTAATTCGTGAGGGGGAGATGATAAAGGTGGTTATCCATAATTTATTTCTGACAGATTTTTACAACTTTTAAATTCATTTTTAACTATTTATTTGGAAGACTTTTTTTGTGGGGGTTATTAATTTAGATTTAAGAATGTGAAGGTTTTTAATTGTTCTTGATAATGTATGTTTGGTGCAGTGGAGAGCCACATTAATGGTGATTAGTCTGGACTCCTAAATTTGATATTCAGGTTATAGTCTTAAACAGGGATGTGATGCATTATTAATTATTTTTAAATTAAGTCATATGAAATCATATTTTATATTTTTTTTTCCTGCTCTTTATAAGCTGTTGGTTGGGCTTTTGTTGCCCTGTAAGGTGCATGCGCTCTGCCAATTTAGTTCCCTTAGCCTCTCCCCATTCTGTACACATTGCTGACTCACCAAAGTGGAAAAGCAAAGACTCTTCTGTCTACAAGGAGAGCATGATTATTCAAGTTCAGTAGCTAACATGTCTTAAAAAGCACCCCTCCCTCAAATTGGGGTTTATGCTCTTCCTTCTGACATGGTTGGTGTTCGGTCCAGGCCATATGATTTTTCTCTCTTAAGGAGAAAATAAAATCGCTTTGAGAAGTTTTGTTTTATACAACTTAGTTTAAATGTTAGTACAGAGGAGAGCAACTTTTATATTTTCCTGGGGGATGGGAGAGAGTGCAATATAATGGGTTAAGTTTCATATTTCAGAATAATTGTGTTGGTTGAAGAAACAATTCTTAAAATATAAATTGCAGAATTAAGATTTGGCAGATTACTTCCTGTGGTGGGTGGAGGGAGCACTAAAACCAGTGATAATCATTAGTGTACTTCAAAAATATATTTTACTGAGGAACTAAGGAGGCAGCTGAACATGTGCTGCTTGCAAGGCTGCACATGAGAGCCAATTTCAGTCTTAACAGGTGCATATGTAAGTGTTGAGTTTAGTAGCTAGCTGATCTCAGAATGATCATTTGTGCCATGCTTTACATAGAGCTGATAGTAAATGCCAATTCTGAATTACCTGTAAATAATGTTGATTTTAAATTTGTATTTTTCTGTAATATAAAATTAAATATTTAACTTTTCAGGGTGGGCGGAGAGGGGAACAACTTTACTTGATTCTGTAAAAAGGGCATTTTGCAGGGTCCAGCCAAAAGTAAAACATTGATGTGCTAGGGATACCATCCTGTATAGTGAGAGTGAAAAGGCTTGGCTTAGCTATCCAATTTATTGATTTGTCTTAACTCCACTCAGTTTGCCTGTCCTCCATATTCTGTCCTGGATAGCTTCTTCCTGCTGTGCTTAAAAACAAATTCAACTTTACCTTCCTGATTTACATGTAGCTATATCCATGTATACAACTAGATTAAAGATCAGAACTAGCTAGGTGAGGGCCAGCCCATTTCTGGATGAGAAAATATCAAAATATAACATGGGTATGCATTGGGCAAATAGCATTCATGATTTTTCTTTTTCCAGAACTTGCAAATTATTGTTTTTCTCTTCGTCCCCGCCCAGCTTTTGATTTGAAAGTAGTGTAGACATCAGAGTTAATTGATTTTGCTAACCCATAGCCAAAAACACATTGGATGAGTTCAAACTCTGTTGGCAGACCATTTTTATTTAATGCATGCTGCCAGCCTTGTTTAGGGTGCTGGGGAAAGGGGACAATAAAAGTGATACTCGCAAATTACCAACTAACAAAAGACAAGGAGCAGTTACTCTACAGGTTTCAAAAGTGACCAGAAATAATAATGTTCTCAGGCAAGAAATTTTTCAGTCAGTAATGATGAGAGGAAAAAATACTTTCAACATTCAGTATGAAATTTTAATTCTATCTTCTGATATATTCTCATGGAAATATTTGATAAATGTGTAGCATGTTATCAATACTGGTTTAAATGATAAGAAAAAAGCTTACCTCTGATCTCTTTGTGTCAGCTCAAGGAAAACCAGGTCATACCTGCCAGGCTTTGAGTAACTGGTTCAGTTCTGGCAAACCAAACCAAACTGCTTTTCTCTTACTGGCTATCGTTTTTTTTTTATTTATTAATTAAGACAACAGAAGTATTTCACAAGGGACATCAAGCAGAATTGGAGGGGAGTAAAGACTGATTTTTTTTTTAATGTAGATTCTGAGAACACTACTCACTGAAACAGAAATATGCCATAATGGAATCTGGAATTAAGGAGGTTTGGAATATGGAACATACACAATGCTGCTTTCCCTGTGACTTGTCTGCAGCAGGTCTCTCTTCTAAGCCTCCTCATTAGCAAAGTATATAGCTACCATCTTACTAGTAGAAAAAGTACTTGGCTGGACCCATATATGTTTAATGGTTATTTCTAGTTTTCTTTCTTTTTCCCTTCTCTCCCACTTTTTCAAGGTGGCTCTCCATTGTAGTGAGTGTACTAATGTCTCTTCATAGGCTGTCAACAGGCAGAGGTTCATTTCCATTTTCTCCTGATTTCCATGCTTCCAGCAGAAGTCTTTAAGAGACTAAAACTTGATTTGGGGTGAGAGGGAACCTCAGTCAATCAGTTTAAAAGAAATGGTCTTGATAATTGATAACAAATGAGTCTCCTGTTGGTAGCTTGATGAAGAGGATGTGTTGATCTCACTTATTCATGTATTTGTATGTTGGGATGTTATTATATTCTTGGAAGAAAACACTGTTGCACCAAGCTTTTTGTAGATGGACTGAACCTGGTGCTATAGAGGTGGAGAGAAAATAACCTGTCTTTTCTCACATTTCACTTTTTGGTGGTGGGGGGGGGGGGTAAGATGGATAGGAGCACTGATATGGGGCTGCTGAGGGACTGAGCCCTCCTATGGGAACTCATTTTCAAGGAGGATATTTAAAGGGGAAAAAAAGACATGAAGAATTTGGACTTTAAGATAAAATTACTGTACTTATTTTTTAAACTTTCTGTTGCTAGAAGGAAAAATTATATGAAATGAAACACTTGGGGGTTGCTCTTCTCCAAGTACTCAAGTTCTTATAATTTTTAAAAAGAAAACTGTGAAAATGGAAAGACCACCTAGAAATTATATCAAGGACTCTTCCAGCAACTTTCCCCTTTCTTCCTGTACTATACTTGCTAATAAAGCCTGGCTACAAAGTAGCCCTTAATGACCTCTGAGGTAGATTACCTATGCAACCTATAATATTCTACATGAAATAATTCTTGAAGAAATCATTTCAAAAAGGTTTGATGTTAAGAATGAACAATTATTACTTTCTGGCCACGTTTTTAAGCTGAAGTACCTGTATTAATTTTAATAGAGAGAAGAGAGCACAGTGTCATGGCCATCCTTTAAAAAGCTTCAGCTTCCTCAAGCTGTGTTCTATGGCACAGGCTGCTTTCATTCACCAGGGCATGAAGTCCTACATTTTGAAACCTTTGCAGGAGTTTAACCCAGGGCTGAGTTATTATCTGGCTGACCCTTGGTTGGTAATTGTGGGGACTGAGCAGGGCTGAGGCTAGAACCAAACCATAGCTAGTGACCCCCTCTAGCCTCCATGCCACCAAAAATCTTAGCGTCTTTTTAAAGCTCTTTTATATAATACTTCCAGACCATTAAAGGCTGTCCATGGCCCTGGGACTAAGCAAACCTAGAGCCGCTTTATTTTGCAGAAGAAATAGAAATGAAACCAAGGCCTTACTGTTTGTGGTTAAACTGGATTAAAAAGCTGCAACATCCATTTTTCAAAAAACAAACAAACAAACAAAAAAAACAAAAAACCATTTCTGGTTGCAAAACAAATGGTGAATCATGCAGGGGGTGGGAAATATGAATAGCACTGATTAGGAAATGCACGTGCTTCTTCATAAACTGCATTTCCTTTTGGAAAAGAACTTTTTTCTACTTTTAATAAAAAAATTAAGCCATAACAGTTTCATGCTGTGGGACGGGAGTGAAAGGGATCACTTTAAGAGATTATATTAATATGAATGATCACTTCTGCTGGGATATGTCTAATTTTGTCAGTGCTTTGGCAGTTATTTCTTTTTTTAAAATCCATGAAATTTGAAAAAGGGGATAGTTCTTGGCTATATTTACTAGTTTTGTAGTAATATTTTGCTGGCCCATTTCTTTCCCTCTCCCTTTTCTACTCTGTCTAATTTCTATCCTTTTTTGAACATCTGTGGAAAATACTGGCTTGTCTGCCTGAATAGGGGTCTCCGTGTGCATGCGTTGGGGGTGTGTGTGTGTGTGTGGGTGTGTCTTTTTACAAAAACGCACTACAGTGTTGAGTATTTGGCTGGGAAAGGGGATGCTGCAGCTTTAAGAGCATTTTTTCAATTCATAACAGTATTTCCCATCCTCTTTTGCCTGCAGGCAGGGAAAATGTATGTACAGTATTTATTTTTGTTTCAATTTTACTTTAAATTTGTAAGTTTCTATAAGTAGCTCACATTGGTTATTCTAGGGGAGGACAAGTGGCTTGTTTAAATTTGTATTTGATATTCATAGTTTCCAGTTTCTGTACTTTAAAATATTGAAATTAAAAAGTTGTACTTATGTTTTGATTTTAGCAATCTATAGTGTTTAATTTCTACAGGTTTTTGTTCACTTGCTTAAAAGTGTAAATACAGAAAGTTGTAAAAAATGTCTTGAGGAAAAAATGCTTAATTCTGTTTCTAGGTCTGATTTCTGTGCCCGTTATTTGACTCTTGATTTTGATGAAGATGTACTTGAGAGATGTGGGGAGTGCAGTACATTTTCTTACTATTTTAAAGTGTAAGTTTGCTTTCTATCAAAACATTCTCTGGGAGCTGAATGCATTTTGTGAGGATGTATACTGTCTTTTTTTGACACCTAAATGTAAAAAAAAATGGTTGAGACTTCCGGCGGTCCATCACTTAGTAAACTTCAAGAAATTGATCCAATTTGGAAACATTTTAATGCCAAAAGAAATTATTTTTTCCTTTTCTTCTTGCCTCTTTTTTTCATATTCTTTCTTTTTGGTCAAGTTTGCCTTATGTTCCTGAAGCCTCTGGCTTTTCTGGGAGCAACTCTTCCTGTCTGTGACTGACGAGGTACTGTTTCTGGTAGAAATTTCTCTCACTCACACCCCCCCTCTTTTTATTTTTTTCTTTACCAACATTGTCTCATTTCCTTTTATCCTTGCCTGCTTTTCTGTCCATTCCACCTGCAACTGCATCATGTTTCCTTTCACAATCATCATTGGTCCCCAGTTTGTATTCATGTGTCGCCACACCACTGGGAGGAAGAAGCACTGCCACACTGCGTTTAGAGTTAGTGTAATGCTTTCTCTTTCTCTACAGAGATAGTGCTGTGTGCTGCTGAACTGCTGCAAAGACTTGCATGGGGGAAACATTCCCTCTATCCCATGCAAGTATGGCCACGCCACGGTATTAAAATCTTAGGTGATGTGTCAGTGGGCTCAGGAGAAAAGGATGGCAAAAATTGGTTTTTGTTTTTTTGTATCCTGTGTACCTAGCCAAGTCACTTACTCATCAGGCTGGCTCTCAGCTTATTGGGAGAACATACAAGGTAACTAAAAATACAATACATGGAGTCTGTTTGTGCTGCTTTGAATCTACCACAAAGGGATCATACTGTCTCTTGCTCCTCCCCAAAGATAATTTTTAATGAGAAATAATAGTTCCCCAGTTTAACTTTGTGCAATTATTGGGAGTGGTATTTCCATCCATGCACAGAGATTTAAACTGTAGTACACCTGAAAGAACTATTTGTGATCCAAGTATATACCCTGGTGGTAACTTGTGAAATTGCAAGCCACACTTTTATGAAGAAGTCAGCAAAACGAAGACCTGCTAATACAGTCCCCTGTGATGGGGAGAGGTGGAGTGTGAACAAACTTCTAATTACTTAATGCTAATATACACTTTGGAAGAGATATTAATCTTCATGCTTCACTCTTAAGCCAATCTAGAATTAGTAGGTATTGGGAGGTTTCTTCCACCTTCTTAAACATCTGGTGTTGGCCACTGTCAGGATACTGGACTGGATGGCCCAGGGGACAGATCCAGTATAGCAATTCCTGTTTTGCAATTAATTGTATGGGGAATTACATGCTTCAGTTCCATCATGTGACAGTTATTTTATTTATGACACTATAGTGCCTTTTCTATGTGGATACAGTGCTTCTGCATTAGTGGGTTTTGAATCCTCAGAGTGGGAAGCAATCAGAAGAATATTTTCACTGTTTAAACTGAATGTTTTAAAAAGTGGTGTTAGGAGGAGCTTGGATGGCTCAGATCAGGGTTTCTCAAACTTCATTGCACCATGACCCCCTTCTGACAACAAAAATTAAGACATGACCCCAGAAGGGGGGACCAAAGCCTGAGTCTGCCTGATTCTCACTGCCCTGGGTGTGGGAGCCGGAGTCAAAGCCCAAGCCCCACTGCCCTGGGTCTGGAAGGGGTCAAAGCTGAAGCCCAAGGGGTTCAGCCCCAGCCAGGGGACCTGTAAGAGCCCTGCCGCCTAGGGCTGAATACCTCAGGCTTCGGCTTCGGCCCCAAGCAGTGGGGCTCAGGCTTCAGCCACAAGCCCCAGCAAGTCTAAGCCAGCCCTGGTGACCCCATTAAAATGGGGTTGTGACCCATTTTGGGGTCCCGACCCACAGTTTGAGAACCGCTGGCTCAGATGTGTAATAGGTAGCTTTTTGCTTCTGGATTGTCAGTTCACATTTAGCCTGTGTCGGTGGGGATCAGGTTACTATCTATCTCATGGCTCTGAAATGAGTTGATCACACTCCAAATGCTAATAGACAGATGTGCACATTATAAAATGAGTGCCACAAGTGACACTGAAGTTTCCAGTCTTAGCAGGGAGATAAAGTGTTAAATGTGATATCAATTTGAATTATCATTCCCAGCAACTGTTTCTCCAGCTCAGGATTGAGGCACTAGTGGGACATTGTGGAGAAATGCAGTGTATCTAATGTACTTTTTCTGTGGCTAAATAAAATGTCAAGCTTCAACACTATTAACCCAACTTTCTTACCCATATGAAATTCACCTTTTAAAAAGTTAAATCCACAATATTTAAGCAAAATGGGAAGTGATTTATGATGCGCCAGTGGGTATCTCAGCTGCCCTGATTAGAAATCGCATTTTTCAGTAATGAAGTGGTTGCTGACAGGAGCGTTTTTGTTTTGTGGGTTTTCATTTAAAAATTTAATGTTCAATAGTGTTCTTGACAAATATCCATGTGTATTGCATATGTAGAATACATGTTTATAATGCCTACTGGGAGGATTCCCTGTAGTTTGTGCGGTTGCTCAAAGTGGCTGGAAAGATGACATTCTCTCTGAAGCTGAGAGCAGCCCCTCTGCAGCATTGCCAGACTGGAGTGAGAAACCCTAACCATAGCTGTTTCTAAACTTTTTTCCAAAACTCAAATTGTCCTCAGGCAGCAGCATCAAAACAATACATTCAGCATATCCTTACCCTCCACCCTCGTCTTTCCCTTTCTTTCAATTTCCATTTTCTTTAAAATAGAAGGAAAAATTCTAGTTGCTAAATACAACAGTTCTGTTGCCACTATGATTTTCCAGCATCACCTTTAAATAACCCTTTTACTGTTTGAGAATAAACTTAATGCCTAAGGGTTAGGGCTAGTAGTGACGACCTGCACAATTATCATGAACACTACTCCCAGTCCTCTTTTGCTTGGTTGTGAAGTTCAGAAGTTTATTGATAGGAGAGTGATCTCCCACATTGTGGCTGGGTTGAACCAAATTGTTCGATGAGAAGACTGATGTGTCCC